CTGTAGAAACAGCAGTGATATCTGCTAGCAAGGTAAACCATAAGGCTAGGATAAAGACATGGATTTCAGTCGCATCCACGGAACTGATGGATGCTCGAAAACGCATCCCACCTGACTCTGAACATGATGAAGCGCGTAGTCAGCTTAGACGCAGACTTATGAAAAGCCTACGTAACGACCGTGAACAGTGGTGGGTGGCGAAAGCAAAAGCGATTGAAAAGGCAGCGGCGATTGGTAACACTAGACAACTTTTCCGCCTTATTAAAGAATACGGTATTAAGAACCCGAATGTGAATGAGACTATTTAGGAAAAAGATGGTCTTATCATCCATTCTCAATCCACGAAACTGGACCGATGGGCAGAACACTTTAGGGATCAGTTCAACTAGCCTTCAGCCACACTTCGGTTTCCCACGATCCCCAGTCATCCTGAATGGCAAATCGATTTACGTCCTCCCGGTCTACATGAAGTTGAGAAAGCTATAGGAAATCTAAATGGAGGTAGAGCAGCAGTTCCTGATAGGCTTACCCCTGAGATGTTTAAGGATGGTGGTCCAGTTTTAACAGTTAGACTGACCGAGATCTTATGTAGAATCTGGGAACTGGACGTAATCCCATCTGACTGGTCTCAGTCGCTAATTGTCCCAATCTATAAGAAAGGACAAAAGTCCTCTTGTGACAATCACAGGGGAATAAGTCTAACTAATATAGTTTCTAAATTGTTAGCCTCCATTATACTTAGACGTCTAACTAGAGCTCGTGAAGAGCAGACTCGAGAAAACCAGGCTGGTTTTCGACCTAATGTGGCTATATAGACCACATCTTCACACTACGACAGGTCCTGGAACACAGACACACATTTAGACGTCCAACAATAGTCGTGTTCCTGGACCTAAAAGCGGCATTTGACTCAGTGGATCGTGAGGTTCTGTGTCAGTGTCTGTCATTGAAAGGTGTACCAAATAAGTACATTAACCTTATACAAGCTCTTTATTCGAACACCACTGGTCGAGTGAGAGCTTATGGCGAACTGTCATCTGAATTCTCTACATCAAGTGGTGTCCGTCAGGGATGTCCACTCTTTCCATTCTTGTTTAACTTTGTCGTAGACATCCTCTTAGAGTTAACATTAGGCTCGTCAGATTTTTCAGGGATTGACCTTCTACCAGGAAAGTCGCTTACTGATCTAGAGTATGCCGATGACATAGTTCTTTTCGGTGAAGATGCTGACAGAATGCAGTCTTCTGACTACCATAAGCAACAATGCGAGCATGTTCGTGATGCGGTTCTCACCTTCGAAATGCAAAATGTTGCTTCAAGACTGGGTTGCATCGGCACCTGAACTAGTGATAGGAAGTGAAGTAGTCGAGCGTGTTGATAACTTCACTTATCTGGGAAGTCTCATCAGCGCTGATAGCCTGGTGATTGACGAAATCTCAGCGCGGATACAGAAAGCTCGATTGGCTTTTGCCTACCTGCGTCACTCATAGCATAGGTGTGATATCCGTTCGCTAACCAAAGGACGGGTGTACTGCTCAGCAGTTCACTCCGTTCTCCTATATGGATGTGAAACGTGGCCGTTAAGAGTAGAAGATATTCGTAGGTTATTAGTATTCGATCATAGATGTTTAAGAAGCATTGCTAGTATATCCTAGGACAACCGAGTAAGCAATGCTGTCGTTAGGAAACGAGTACTAGGTAAGGATGTTAGATCAATAGATGAAGTAGTGCAACTTCATCAGTTGAGGTGGTTGGGACATGTTTTACGAATACCTAACCACCGACTGCCTCGACGAGCTATGTTTTGTGGTGTAGGAGTAGATTGGAAGAAATCTAGGGGCGGCCAAACCAAAACATGGCACAAATCCATGAAGTCATTGACAAGTGGACTGAGTCATGTTGGTAGATGTAGGCTACCTGGTTGGGGTCCGCAAGACGAAAGTCACCAATGGTTAGCGACCTTGACTGACATGGCTCAAAATCGTTTGCAATGGCGCAAGTGCTTCCATTCTTTGAGCTCTCTCAAATCCTAATCTTCTGGATTCGTCAGCACCTTTACCTTTGTCCTTCTAACCTTATCTCACTGAATCATACTTCTTGAATAATATCTTCGAACACTAGTCTTCTCCATTACCATTAATACCTCTACTATCTTTATGACTATGGGATTTGATTTGACATTTGCGTTTCTGTGTTAATAATGTGGTATGGCAACATGAACTTATGTACATACGTACGAAGTTGTACGTTGCAACTGACTGACCCTAATCTTTTCGATTACTGCTAATACTGATACAACATCTGTTACTATAGGATTCAAACTGCTGATGGTTCCTGGCTGTCCACTGGATCTCGTTCTTCTATCCTGATTTTGACGTCATCATCATTCAGTCGGTCACCAGGAGAAAAAGAAAGGTCAAGAGTAAGCAACCTTGTCTGACACCGGTCTTTACCTCTAACGAGAGTGTGAGCTGACCTTCGTGCATGATTGTGTGGTTTAATCCATCCTAAGAATTCCAAATGATGTAGAATATTTTCTCAAGGATGCCATGGTGTTGAAGAAGCCTCCACAGTGCTGTCCTGTTCACACTGTCAAATGCTTTCTCGTAGTTAATGAATTTGATGTAGAGTGGTGAGTTCCATTCAGTTGACTGTTCCACAATGATCGGTAATGTTGCAGTTTGGTCGGTATACGATCAGTCTTTCCGAAATCCAGCCTGTTGGTCTCGAAGTCCTTCATTTCTTTTAGCAATTCCTTGATGAAGACTTTGCCTGTTATCGGGAGGAGAGTGACGCCTCTTCTTTCCACGTAGCATCCCTGTACTTCTTTGCCCCATCATCTCCCCCTAAAAGATTTGCTTCCTGGTTCTCAGGTTAAACGAAACGAAATTACGGCCACAATTTAGTAACACAAATGATCGTTTGAATATATCTCTCATTACGAACAATTATTTGTCCGGTGTAGCACTTTGAGATGGTGGAGAAAACTTGTAGCTCAGGTGGATGATTGTGGTGGTGTTTTGTTCTCTGAGCTGGTTGTTTTGGTTGTGGAGCTTTCATTGTTCTTCTGAACAACATCATCAGCACGAACTTCAGATAGAAGTGAAGCATTAGAATTTCTCCACGTTTGACCTGTAGCTTGTTCTGCTAACCTCGATCTTGATTGGTTGTTGTTGACATTTGACCTGTCGTTGTTTGCAACTATGTTTTGATTGCCTCCCTCTTTTGATCTGTTTCTTGATCTAGTGTCACCTATGATTTTCCTGATTGGTTGATAAATTGGGTCAATGTCGATGTGTTTGTTGATTGCTAATTGACCTGAGTGCCAAGCTTCTAAAAATTCTCTAGTGTTCTTTGTCCTCCCCCTACCTATTATTTCCACGTTGTTCCAATCAAATGTGTGTCCATAATTGTCGGTGTGTATTGATATAAGCGAAGCGTTGTCGTGGCGTTTGACTGCTAATTGATGTTCACGTAAACGGAGCTGAAGAGGTCGTCCACTTTGTCCTATGTAGTGTTTTTCACAATTTGAGCAATTTATTTTGTAGATGATATTTGGTTTTTCTTCCTTTGTCATTTTGTCCTTTGGTCTACATAGGATTGACTGAAGTGATTCCGTTGGTTTGTGTGCCACACCTATTCCAAATGGTTTCAGTAGTCGTGCCGTATGCTCTGATATGTCTTTGATGTATGGTAGGATGATGCGTTTATTTGTTCCTGTGCTTGATTTCACTCCTGATGATAGTTTTGGTTGATGTTTTTTGATGAAGTTGCGTGGATAGCCGTTCTTTTGGAAGATAGTCATCAGATGTTTTTCCTCGTTTTTTAATGTTTCGTATGTGCTGCAGTGTGTCTTCGCTCTCTTGAACAGAGTTTGTATGCAGTTGACTTTGTGGGTTCTTGGGTTGTTGCTGTCGTAGTTGAGAATTACGTCGGTGTGGGTTGACATCCGAAATACTTGAGTTTCTAGTTTTCCTGTGTTAGTTCTGGTGATTAGTACATCCAGGAATGATAGGCTGTTGTTTGATTCCTTTTCCATCGTGAATTTGATGTCATCAAAGACGTTGTTGATCTGATTGTAGATGTTCTCCAGCTCATTCCTTTTGATAATAACGAATGTGTCGTCTACATAGCGAACCCACATTTTTGGCTTGATCACTGGCAGAATCGACGCTTCCAGTCTCTGCATTACCGCTTCGGCGATGAGTCCTGATATTGGTGATCCCATTGGTGTTCCTTTTATTTGTTCGTAGACTCTGTTGTTGAACTGAAGATATGTTGTTAAGCATAGGTCGATGAGTTCAAGCAAACCTTGACTCTGAAGTTTTGTATATTTGTGTAGATTTGTGTCGTTGGTGAGGAGCAGAGAAAGAGTTTCTTTGGCTAAGCTTGGTTCTATTGAGGTAAATAAGGCTGTTACGTCGAAGGATATCATCATTTCGTCGTTGTCAATTTGAATCCTCTTGAGTTTATCCAAGAATTCTGTGGCAGACTTAATGGAGTAGTTGGATTCATCCACCAGATGTTTTAATATCCTTGAGATCTCTCTTGATAAGTTGTAGGTCGGGGTTCCGGGGAGGGATACAATAGGACGTAGTGGGATGTTAGGTTTGTGGAGTTTTGGCCTACCGTAGAATCGTGGAATTGTTGGTCCATTGGATTTCATTCTCCATTGATCTTGTTTTGATATTTGTCCTGTTTTGACAAGCCTATTTAGAGTCCTTGAGATTTGATTGTCCAACTTTTTTATGGGGTTTGTGTCGACTGGTTTATATACGCTTCTGTCCTGAAGTAGCTCCTCGGCTTTCTTGATATATTCCTCCTTGTCCATGATTACTGTTGTGCGTCCTTTGTCCGCTGGAACTATGACTATATCTTCCCTGGTTTTGAGTTTCTTCAGAGCTTTTCGTTGTTGTGCTGTTAGTTGCACTTTTAATCAACTATCATATTATATTAAACATTCGGTCTGACATATTTTATTTTTCTCTTTACATCAACAGACTTCATCAAATTCGAATTTATCCACAAAAAAACATGAAATAATCGGTTGTAAAATTGATGCAAGTAGAAAATCATCGCATGGATTATCCGATTCGATAGTAACATCATCCTCGAAATCAGATCAACTACCATTATCTATTGAATTAGAGCATACAAATGAACTGCCATCGGATACCTTAATGGATCAATGCGTCAATCTAGTTGATCGTATTCTAATCTGTACTCATTCAGATTTGAATAACACTCAGAAATCATCTTTGTCATGTGAAGATACTGTGAAAACTCGTACATTCCACTTAGCACCTGCTTATGCATTGTATTTAACATATAGGGCTTGTATAAAGAAATTGAATTCAACAAATCAATGTCAACCGGCTGAACGAGAACACTGTATATCTCATTTAACAAATTATATGGCCACTAGAATATATGAAGTATGTTATTATCTGTGTAACTTATATCAAACTAATCAGTTCAGTTTTTAACAACATGATTGGTTTTCGCAGTTATGTCCAGATTTTCAAATAAGCATGAATGAATCATCAACATTAAAGTCACTCTCCCTGTTGTAACCAACATATAACTTAGAACTCTTGAGCAAAGGGGTCACTTTTTCATATTTAACGTTAACAAAACAACATGAAAGCTAACCAGATTGATTGAAAAAGAGTTGAGATAAAGTTGAGAAACTAAATGCTATTGAAACCATTCGATCGTAACGTACTAAACCAGGGAACAATGGTAGAGTTTCTGTGAAACTGAGAGACACAAGATCGGATTAGCCATAAAGCATCAGGTCCCCTACGACTACAGGTACATTTTTTTGATGAGTTTCGAATAGCATGAAACCTATATCCAGAGTTTCCTATCAACTACCTTACATCTCAGCATATCACAGGCAATGTTGATTCATTTAGACTAGTTGACCGCATTACAACTTGAATGATGGAATTCGAACAGCACTAAAAAGGATTTGGCATATATGATATTAGTCACTACTTGTTGATCAATCAATTGTTAGACAAAAAGTATGAAATTATACTTGAATTCAAAATTTACTATGAAAATAAGCAGTGTATGTATATGCGTTAGCTCAGTGGCCGGTCTTCGGTTATTGTATTCGACTTCTCTAATGATAGATGATGATCATTGCAGAAACTAAGCAAATAATCTGTTAACAGAACTCCGATCACTAACTTTACACGTCTTAAAGTGGCCGAACTTGAATTCGTTTCAAACTCATATTATTCTACCCAACACTGTGTCAAGGAACATAATTATGGCGAAATAAATTCCCGTAGTTCATAATATTGAAATATTCCAATCAGTTGATTAACAACTAAAACAAGAAGAACAAACACAATAACTCCATCATAAGTAGAGTGTGATATGAATCCGATACATTTGTCAGACTGAGCAATAAATTGACTTCATCATTATAGCGTCCTTAAGATTGAATGCATACAAATTAGAATAGAACCTCCATGACTTTTAAAACCAGAAAGTAATTGTAAATATCGTGAAGTAAATTCAGGAGACGGTATTACTACGTAGTCACATATTTACTTATTTATGCCTGTTACCCATGATGGAGCATAGGCCACCCACCAGTTTTCTCCAACCAACTCTGTCCTGGGCTTCCCTTTCTATTTCTTTCCAGTTTTTGTTCATTCTTCTCATATCTTTCTCTATTTCTTGGCGTAATGTGTTCCCTGGCCTTCCTCTTTTCCTTTGACCTTGAGAGTTCCCTGTGAGGGCTTGTCTTGTGATGCAGTTGGGTGCTTTATGCAGTGTGTCCTATCCACTTCCACCACCTCTTCCAGATTTCCTCCTCCACTCGAATCTGGTTTGTTCTCTCCCACAGTACGTTGTTGCTGATAGTGTCTGGCCAACGAATCCGTAGTATTTTACGAAGACAACTGTTCATAAATACTTGTATCTTCTGGATAATGGCTTTGGTAGTTCTCCAAGTTTCCGCTCCATGCAGTAGAACTGTCTTGACATTTGTATTGAAAATCCTGATTTCGGTTTTGTTTGAAAGTTGTTTGGAGTTCCAGATATTTTTCAACTGTATAAATGCAGCCCTTGATTTGCGATCCACGCCCTCACATCTGCATCGGATCCATCTTGGTTGTCGATGATGCTGCCCAGATATGTGAACATGTTAATGTCCTCCAATGCATCTCCATCAAGATTGATTTGGTTGGTGTATGTTGTGTTGCATCGGAGAATTTCGCTTTTGCTTTTATGTATGTTGAGACCTGCTGCTGCAGAGACTGCTGCTACGCTGGTTCTCTTCTCTTGCATTTGTTGTTGCGTGTGCGATAGAAGAGCCATGTCATCTACGAAGTCCAGATCGTCCATCTGCATCCTAGCTGTCCATTGGATACCGTGCTTCCCTCCAGATGTTGACGTCTTCATAATGTAGTCGATCACCAGGAGAGAGAGAAGGGGTGAGAGTAAGCAACCTTGTATGACACCGGTCTTCACCTCGAGAGAGTCTGTTAGCTGTCCTTCGTGCACGATTTCGCAGTTGAATCCATCATAAGAATTCCGTATGATGTTGGCTATTTTCTCAGGCACACCGTAGTGTCGAAGAAGCATCCACAGTGTTTTCCTATCCACGCTATCGGATGCTTTCTCGTAGTCGATGAAGTTGTTGTAGAGTGGTGAGTTCCACTCCATTGATCGCTCCACAATTGTCCGTAATGTTGCAATTTGGTCAGTACACGATCGATCCTTACGAATTCCAGCCTGTTGGTCTCGAAGTTGGGCGTCTGCGAAGTCCTTCATTCTGTTTAACAATACTCTGTTGAAGACTTTGTCTGGTATTGAGAGAAGAGTGATGTCTCTGTAGTTCTCACACTTGCTCAGGTCGCCTTTCTTTGGTATTTTCATGAGGTATCCTTCTTTGCAATCTGATGGTACTTGTTCCTCATCCCAAATCTTGTTGAAGAGAATGTGAAGTATTTTTGCAGTTGCTTCCACGTCTGCTCTGCTGGAATGTTGTCTGGTCCTGCTGCTTTGCCGCTCTTAATTTGTCTGATGGCCATACTGATCTCTTCAATTGTATGTGCGCCAACATCGATTGGGAGGTCGTAGATGTTACTTCGATGTTGGATGTATTCAATGGAGCTTGTCGATTCGAGAGTTCCTTGAAGTGCTCTACCCACCTTTTTCTCTGTTCTTTAGTGTTGCTGATTACTTTGCCTTCCTTGCTTTTCACTGGTCGTTCTGGTTTACGATGGTTTCCGGCGAGCTTCTTTGTTTTTTCATACAACTGTCTCATGTTCCCGTCTCTTGCAGCCTTTTGCGCCGTCATTGCTAGATCTTCCATATATTTTCGTTTGTCAGCTCTGATGCTCTTCTTCACTTGCCTGTTTGCTTCTGTAAATGCAGCTTGTGCCTTAACTTTATCTGCTCTTGTTCGGCTGACATTGATTGCTGCCCTCCTGTTCCTCCTTTCTTCAATTTTTGCAAGAGTATCAACAGAGATCCAATCCTTGTGATGATACTTCTTGTGACTCAGAACTTCGTGACATGTTGAAGTGATTGCTTCCTTGATCCCTTTCCAATTGTTCTCCATTGAGTATATCGTGCAAGGCCTGAAACGTATAGGAGAGGGCTATCTTGAATTCGTTGAGTTTTGCGGTATCCCGAAGAAAGGTCGTATTAAACTTCTGTGATGTTGTCTGCCGCGTTATCCAGTGTTTCTTGAGTTTCAGTTTTATTTTAGCGACCAGCAAGTGATGATCTGAGGCTATGTCAGCTCCTCCCTTGGTTCTCACATCCTCCATGGTCCTTCTGAACTTTTTGTTGATGCAGATATGGTCGATTTGGTTCTGAGTAGTGTGATCCTGTGAAATCCATGTGTATTTGTGTATGTGTTTGTGTGGGAATATTGTGCCACCGATGACCAGTTTGTTGAAGGCACATAGGTTTGCAAATCTCATACCGTTTTCGTTCCTTTCTCCCAGTCCATGTCGTCTGATGATGTCTTCATATTCAGTTTTCTCCATGCCAACCTTGGAATTTAGGTCTCCCATTGGAATCGTCAAGTCCTTTGATGAGCGTCTGTCGACGTTTGACTTCAGCCTTTCGTAGAATTGATCTTTAACGTCGTCATTGTAGTCATTGGTAGGTGCATAACGTTGGATGACGTTCATTGTAATGTCCTCTTTATTTGTTTTGAAGGATGCTTAATTGATCCTGGGTCCATGAGATTCCCATCTTATCAGTGCCTTTTGTGCATATTTGGACAGCATCAGTGCAACTCCTTGTGTATGTGCAGCATTATCCTCTTCATGACCAGAGTATAACAGCAGTTCCCCTGAAGCTAGTCTCATTTGTTCTACCTGTGTTTAATTCGTTTCACTGATACCAAGCACCTTGAGGTTGTATCTTTTCATTTCTGCCGCAATTTGAAATAGTCTTCCAGTCTCCCACAATGTTCGAACGTTCCATTTATCTAAAAGAATGGTTGCTGTGGTTGTCAGAAGAGGCATCGGCCTCGTGATTTGCGATGGAACTCGTCTTTCATCACGAGACGTCATAATTCTTATTCCAACTCCCGGGGCAGAGTTAAAATGGTTTGTTTTATTTTCTCTGGTTAACGTTTTTTGGCAAATTATTTTTTTTGGTGGGACGGGGTCGCCAACCCCATGCCCAACCTTCCTCCTTTATCCGGGCTTAGGACCGGCATTAGCGCCGAAGGTTCTACAGGCGGAGTTACTACGTGGTTATTATATAGTATAAAATCGTTAATGACTTTTATATCAATATTTAAATCTACGTACATTTAATTTATCAAAGCTTTATCTTAAAGAACACGTGCATCAATACTTTGATCCATCAGAATTAGTCCTAGATATTAACATCAGGAAAAATTCCCTACAACCAACATAACATTCCGTCGAATTTCAATGAAACATTATCATTTAATATGATTATTTGAACGACTAAATAATGTTTGTCCACTTGATTCTCCAAATGAGTAACAATGTCACAGGTTGATGACAGTTAGGGTACTGTTGATATCCAGAGAGTACTAGAGTTGTTACCTCATCTTAGTATAACTGCTCAACTCTGATTACTCACGACTGAATCCAGGACCTTGAGGTTTCTTGATGAAAACTAAATACTAGAACCACTAGGTCGGTCTCCAATTCAGTCAACTTGAGTTTAGCTTGACATTCATTCTGTTGCATCGATAACAGCTATTTCTTTCCCAGCATATCTGAACAGTGTTTTCAAAACTGTTATTTGGTGTAATTGTAGGTTAATTTATTCACCGGGTGAGTTTTATCATTTACGTTGATACCAATTTTAGCTATCATATATATATATATATATATATATATATTTCTGTTATTTTTTGCATCGATGACCTATTCCATATTTCTCAATCTTCACAGTTTGTGCCTAATTTCAATCGAAATTCTAATTCCAATCATTCACTTATTAAGCCATTAACGTATTGGCTTGGAAATAGTAGTGAATTATTGCACTTTTTCAAAAATGATATTGATCTTTGTTCAACACGATCGAGAGCTAGTCATCATAATAGTCAATCTGGCTCACCAATACAATCAGTAATTTGTCGAGACGCTTTACATTTATTAGCTGAAACAGTAGATCACTGCTTTTATTATTTACGTTCAATTATGAGTAGTATACTTCAACCATGGTTGCCATGTTTAACATATCCTGGAGATTTAGATTTACAAGTTAGTTCCATATGTTATTGTTTATTTTACTAAAGAAACATTTTGTTTTTTTGGCTAGTGTTCGTATTCTTGATCTCAGTTCATTTAGGAGTTTAAGTCAGTCATTTGATTTCATCACTAGTAATCACTTGGACTAAATTAAGCCTATCACTTGTCAAGTTTTAAAGCATTCCTCTGTAGAACAACTTCTAACTCGTTTGTCACAACAACTAGTTACGCTTCAGTGAGATTAGTATTAATATCTATGACTTTTGGACCTATGATAATAAGAATTTTGAGAGCATATCTTACTTGCTTTATTTTGACCAACTGCGAACAAATCAATTAATTCATATATATATATATATCCTTTTATCGAATTTTCATCATATAAAGAACCTTGGGAACCAGTTAGCACGGAAAAACTATTTTATCATTCTTTGAGTGGTACATGTTATAGAATCAAACTCTGTGACCTAAGGTTTTGCAGGTGCGTGATATTTAAAAACTACACTACTTGAAAATTTAATAGTCTAGCTTTCTATTTGTATATTGTACAACTGTCATTCAATTTAATTTGAGAGAATTAGTCTTAATCCTAATGGCCGCAAATAAAAACTTTTCTCTGAATTTCTAGTATCCTAATGAAACCTACTCATTCGTGGACTATTTGTATTTATTTAGGTGATTTACTTCACATACTAACATTAGCACAATATCATAAACTGACTGAATCTAAAAAACGTACGCGACCACATTCCATATGTGCGATAGAAAGGTATCATGCTCACCAATAAACCTGGAAGTTCTAAGTTCGATCTCTGGTGAAGTCGTAGATTAGCACTGATGAGGATTCCCATAATAGGATGAATGTACAGTTCAATGTTTTCTAACCAAAGTTAATCGTTGCAGTGAAACATCAAATATATGTTTATTTTACCCAAGTTTTCCAATTAAATTGACTGGAATCTTAACGATTAGAAATTTCTTTTTTTTTTTAATTTTTAATGCTACTTACACTAATTTTTCATCCATATATATATACATATAAACACAAACTACATCCTAATTTAGTTCAAATCTTTCACATTTTACATATAATTCTAATCAATGAATTATGTTAATTTAATTAGTTACCAGCAGTCAGTCAGTCAGTCAGTTGCAACGTACAACTTCGTACGTATGTACATAAGTTCATGTTGCCATACCACATTATTAACACAGAAACGCAAATGTCAAATCAAATCCCATAGTCATAAAGATAGTAGAGGTATTAATGTTAGTAAAGAAGACTAGTGTTTGAAGATATTATTCAAAAAATATAATTCAGTGAGATAAGGTTAGAAAGACAAAGGTAGAGGTGCTGGCTAATCCAGAACATTAGGATTTGAGAGAGCTCAAAGACTGGATGCACCTGCGCCATTGCAAACGATTTTGAGCCATGTCAGTCAAGGTCGCTAACCATTGGTGACTTTCGTCTTGCGGACCCCAACCAGGTAGTCTACATCTACCAACATGACTCAGTCCACTTGTCAGAGACTTCATGGATTTGTGCCATGTTTTGGTTTGGCCGCCCCTAGATTTCTTCCAACCTACTCCTACACCACAAAACATAGCTCGTCGAGGCAGTCGGTGGTTAGGTATTCGTAAAACATGTCCCAACCACCTCAACTGATGAAGTTGCACTACTTCATCTATTGATCTAACATCCTTACCTAGTACTCGTTTCCTAACGACAGCATTGCTTACTCGGTTGTCCTAGGATATACTAGCAATGCTTCTTAAACATCTATGATCGAATACTAATAACCTACGAACATCTTCTACTCTTAACGGCCATGTTTCACAGCCATATAGGAGAACGGAGTGAACTGCTGAGCAGTACACCCGTCCTTTGGTTAGCGAACGGATATCACGCCTACGCCATAAGTGACGCAGGTAGGCAAAAGCCAATCGAGCTTTCTGTATCCGCGCTGAGATTTCGTCAATCACCAGGCTATCAGCACTGATGAGACTTCACTTCCTATCACTAGTTCAGGTGCCGATGCAACCCAGTCTTGAAGCAACATTTTGCATTTCGAAGGTGAGAACCGCATCACGAACATGCTCGCATTGTTGCTTATGGTAGTCAGAAGACTCTGCATTTTGTCAGCGTCTTCACCGAAAAGAACTATGTCATCGGCATACTCTAGATCAGTAAGCGACTTTCCTGGTAGAAGGTCAATCCCTGAAAAATCTGACGAGCCTAATGTTAACTCTAAGAGGATGTCTACGACAAAGTTAAACAAGAATGGAAAGAGTGGACATCCCTGACGGACACCACTTGATGTAGAGAATTCAGATGACAGTTCGCCATAAGCTCTCACTCGACCAGTGGTGTTCGAATAAAGAGCTTGTATAAGGTTAATGTACTTCTTTGGTACACCTTTCAATGACAGACACTGACACAGAACCTCACGATCCACTGAGTCAAATGCCGCTTTTAGGTCCAGGAACACGACTATTGTTGGACGTCTAAATGTGTGTCTGTGTTCCAGGACCTGTCGTAGTGTGAAGATGTGGTCTATATAGCCACATTAGGTCGAAAACCAGCCTGGTTTTCTCGAGTCTGCTCTTCACGAGCTCTAGTTAGACGTCTAAGTATAATGGAGGCTAACAATTTAGAAACTATATTTGTTAGACGATTCCCCTGTGATTGTCACAAGAGGACTTTTGTCCTTTCTTATAGATTGGGACAATTAGCGACTGAGTCCAGTCAGATGGGATTACGTCCAGTTCCCAGATTCTACATAAGATCTCGGTCAGTCTAACTGTTAAAACTGGACCACCATCCTTAAACATCTCAGGGGTAAGCCTATCAGGAACTGCTGCTCTACCTCCATTTAGATTTCCTATAGCTTTCTCAACTTCATGTAGACCGGGAGGACGTAAATCGATTTGCCATTCAGGATGACTGGGGATCGTGGGAAACCGAAGTGTGGCTGAAGGCTAGTTGAACTGATCCCTAAAGTGTTCTGCCGATCGGTCCAGTTTCCTGGATTGAGAATGGATAATAAGACCATCCTTTTCCGAGATAGTCTCACTCACATTCGGGTTCTTAATACCGTATTCTTTAATAAGGCGGAAAAGTTGTCTAGTGTTACCAATCGCCGCTGCCTTTTCCATCGCTTTGATATATTTTCGACTTAAACGGAGTAGGAAATCATAAATCTTGTATAATATCATATAATTAAATATGTTAGTAAAAGGAAAACACTATTCTCTTTTGGTAATTACCTTATTGTCAGTTTATTCATAGGCGGAGTTGTTTCTAATCAACCGATCTTTTGAACTATGATTGATCGATCATATCGTATTGTTGTACATCACTAAATGATTAGCGTTCATTTTATCGTTTCAGCAATTCAAGATGTGATTATAATCACAAACCTTACAACTTTTTCACCTAAATTTTTCTTATCTTCGTTTATACAGTGCAACAGTCATTAAGATAAATTATACATTAGGAAGACCATGAAATATGAAATTCGTAAGATTCGGAATTATTTCAGTGTCTAATAGTGGTACTAACTTGGTCATTATTTTACTTGATGTCAGTCATCAGTAATCTTGTTTGATGAGCAAGTATTTAGTCGGTTATTCACGTAGGTTGAAAAGATTTGTTCCGCGATCGATGATCAACGGTTTTCTGAGAGGTACTAATTAGTGACAGTGACAACATAATCAAGAGAATATTCACTCTGAACAAATTTATGTTCAAATTAATGTTCTGAAACAATTATATTTATTGCTAAACTAATTTGACTATTCAACATCCGATCATACACTACGCAGAACGTAACACATTGAAAGCGGTTCAAGTTACCATACCAACTTAGCATTGTGAAATAGATAATATCAAGAAAAATCCCAGACTGATACAAGTAGTGACAGTATCAGTAGTAGTAGAGACGATTAGGTATAGAAAAAGGAGTATAAGGAGATTTTGGGACTCAAAATTCAGAGGAAGACAGTGATTGAGTACACCTCCACCGTGACAAACTATTTTAAGTCATATCACTCAAAGTCTCAAATCATTGCTTGCTATAATCATGTGAAGCCAAACCCGATAGCCTCCACCCAATGACAAGGCTCAGCCCAAACGTCACCCTTAATAGCCATTCAACAATTAGGTACGGCGCTACCAAATATATAGCAGTCGCTGTTCTGGTTTTATTGAAATATTAATGATATCCTCATTTTTGTCATTTATTGCAATAGTCTTACGTACTAGGACTTTCAGCTGATCATATGAATCCATATATCATGAAATATGCAGTTTTATTTGACTGAAAGAAGTCTTTGTATCCTCAACACTTTCCAATTTATCATATATATGTGACACGAGACCACTAATTTTCTGAAGAAAAACTATAACAAGATCTGAAGCCTTGTAAACTCTAAAGATATAATTTTTTCGAAGTTTTCCTTTAGATTTAATGTTGCACAAACGTTAACGGTCTCTCATGACTGGTTCTAACCAACAGAAATTTTAAACTTATAGAACAGAGTGGTTGAACATTCAAAATGCTTTACTTAACTTAAAAAGTTCCATCAGCAGCAATTTCTCACTAAAGGTGTAGAAGATTTACTTGGAAATCTGTAAGTTGTGTCATCCAATATTTTAGTAACATATCAGGAGGCGAGTATACTGTGCTCTATGATTTGTCTCAACTCTTTCATTGTTTCTACATTCAAGTGGAACCGTATTAGTCGTTGATATAATTCCGTCCCTGAAATCAAAGACTTTCACCTTAGTTCAACTGTCACACTTACAGGTGTCATAGAAGCACTGTTAATGAAGAAACATTTGTGCATGATGAATGGCTAATGGCAGCTAATCACTGCTGAAAAATGACACTCATATCTTTTTGAACAATTACAAGTTACACGAATATCGAACGGTGTGTCTAGAGTTCGTTACCATAATAAAATAAATGATGCTGAATGCAGGAAATGTTATCAATGTTTTTATTACTATTGAAATTGAAAATAGTTACTTCACATTTTTGAATAGATGGCTTAGCTACTTGTAAGTAGTTTATCTAATTAAATGAAACATTATTCCACTGTGTTTGGTTTTCCAACCACTTACCTATTTTCCTATATTAGGACGATGAACTTCTAGATGATAAACCCATTAACCCAGAAGAAACATGCAATAAACGCAAAGAATCCATAAGTATGCAAATCATTCTTCAGTATTTTACTTACTTAATGAAGCAACTAAGAAAAAATCAAGTCAATCCTGCTTTGACTTTCCAGTTGTACTCACAATTGTTTCATTTAATTGGTGCATATATATTCAACACTGTTCTAATCGATACAGAAGCTAAACCCAGAAATGTTTTAAATGATGGTAGTTTATGGCTTACAAGACTTGGAGCATCACGTTTGAACAGAAGATTGGACCGTATCAAACGATGGGCACATAAACAAGGATTGGAATTAGCAGCTGAGTGTCGTCTTCAACGATGTACACAGGTAATTGAATTAGGAATGTGGTATTTTCGTTGTCCGTTTATATCTACAATTTCAAAGTTTAACGAACAAATTAGATTGTTTCGTTTTTGAAGATCATTTTATCTCGTTTAGTTCTCACTGACTGCTTACAACCTGCAATATTTTAAAATCAAATTTATGCTAAAATTGACATACTTCTTAGTGTAATTGGTCAGGTTTGAACATACATTCTCATGGTGGAGTAACGATTCGGTCAAATACAACGCAAATAAACGACTATAGTATTCGATATGCTTGAAACTATCACGAGTTCATCTTAGTCGGTAAACGAGGGCGAAAACGAATGATTCAGTGACACGATAGGCTACTCCAATCCGAGCGTACAAAGGCCCCACTAAGTAGAGGAAGAAGTCTTGACAAGACCTAGAAAGTGTATTCTACAAGCACTCAGAAAATATAAGGTTGACAAGCACACACATCTAGTTTATTTATGCATCATAGAAACGTCCTTGGGAGAGCCACAAAATGGCGTGCTAGGATAATACATCAACCAATAACAGTCAAGGATTTTCCGGGTGGGAAATGTAATCTCATGGTCTACTGATCAGCTCATACGCTAAGACATAAAACCCAAAATTAGGACCTTTATCAAATGAGTTCTGGGGATCTAACGTCCCCAACAGTATTGTAAATAAATACATATGGGAGGATATTCTGGATCATTAGACATCGTAACAAGTGACCACAGAGTGAAATTAATTTTTTGATTATGTAATAAATTAGATGAACAAAAATCAATCTTAATTTTGAGTAACATTTATGGAAATAATTTGGCTAAAAGTCAAACTATGAATTTAAAGGAAAATGTCCAGTCAAGGTAATAGAAAGAGTTGCAAGAATGTTGCGATGACGTTATTATGATAAAGAGGATCTTTTACGATTTCCTTTTGAAGACAAATACAACTTCTGCAGTTTGATGACTATGACTTTAGCTAAAGTTCGGTTATTGATTAATAATCCGGAAAGATATCAGTACATCAACCTGATGTCTTGCGTCAAAGACATGTTTTGAACTAGCACTTTTGAAAGCTTTTAATTCCATTGACTGACAACATTTTTGTAAATGTTCTTGGAATCAGATGTAAGCTTTTGTTTTTGTTCTACCAATGTAACTGCTGTAGCAGATACATGTAAGTCTATTGACGCAGTCAGCAGAAACATGACAGCGTTTTTTTTTGAAAAATTTCCCATCAACTATACATAAAATAATTTTTTCTTTTTATATCACACTAATCTTCCAGGCATGTCAGTTGATAACGGTGAATCGTACCAATTTAGATGAATTCTACCAACATTGTATAAGTTTAATTTCTTTAAACAGTATTCAATTAGAATGGTTATTAGCGCATTTATCCGATCCACCACCCGTTCCTGATGAATGGATTGATTTGATTGTAACTGGAGCCAAAGAGGTAACTCACCTTGAAATATGACTACAAATTACTATGTGATCCTGTTTATGTTTATTTCAGATTTCTCTTTCCAGTAGGCAAATACTTGATTAATCACAAATAAGTAGGCAATGTCTTGTATATCTAGTTCTCTGGTATTGATCGGAGTCTTTCGATCAAGTTGCGATGCAACCATTGTTCTAAGTGACTCAATATCACCATGTTGAAATTTTAGGTGACTGAGGGTAAGAAACAAGAGATCCTCAGCATATATCCAATGCTAATCAATAATCGTCAACAAGGCGTACCTGTAATTTTGATGAAACTAATGCCACTTGGAGAATCTAACCCCTTCTGTCCATCCTGATAAAATCCAAACAGTACTAAAGAACTGGAAAAACACTGCGCTGTTCATTACTCAGAGAACAATCATATCTAAGTATTTCAGCGTTATAAGAGATTAGTCATGGATATTTTCAGTAAACTGATATTTCTTGTACATTAGATTTTCCTGGATATTGTCAGTCAGTTGCAACGTAAAACTTGGTACATTTGTTCCATCAGTTCAAGTTGCCGAAACAAATAAGCACATACAGATGAAATTTTCAGTTCAAACTCCAAAGTAACAGATGTTGTATCAGTATTAGCAGTAATCGAAAAGATTAGGGACGAAAGACTTTATCCCAATGAAGCAAATTTAAAAAGATAAAGTTCTGAGGAATCCAGGAGATTAGAATTTGAGAGAACACAAAGAATAGATGCACCTGTGCCATTGCAAATGATTTTGAACCATTTCATTCGAAGCCTCTAACCATTGGTTAGCACTGTTTCGTGGACCTCAACCAAGTAGTCTACACCCAATAATATGGTTCAGCCCAGTTGTCTGTGACTTCATGGATTTGTGTCACGTTTGTTTTTGGCCGCCTCTAGCTTTATTCCAGCCTACCCCTGTATCAGACTACCTCAATCGCCGTTGTTAAAGTTAAACGACTCATTATTTCAACTTTCGTTACTTTTTCAATATGGGATTAACTGAATCCCGTGAACTTAAACACAAAATGTTCAGACTTTTAAATCGAGAACCGAATATGAATGGCAATACCAAATTTTAATACGAATAAGAAATGAGAACTAGTGAAGAATCAGTTCGCACCATACAATAGTCTATTAATTCTGTAAAGGATAAGAGTACATCTGTCTATACTAGCTATCTAATCATGGTTTACTTTGATGGAATTTATTACCAATGTAACACCAAAGTTATTTAATGTCATCAATGGGTAACTGGTTCACAAATGAAATAGTTGTCTGTTACTTTCGTTTTTGATAAGAAATTCATGATTAGGCTGATTTTTCTGTAACTTAAAAGACTTTCAAAACATGAATTACTCTTTTTAAATCCTCTACTTTAAAAATAACGCTGAGGTTTACTACAACGTTATCAACATCCAATAATTGTATCGTACTTTCAGTCACTTTTTAACTCATCTGGTCTGAAGTTTAGGCACTTGTAGCTGGATTTGAAGGTCTTAGGTTTGATATCCGGTTCGGTCGAGAATGCGCTGAATGCGAAAATGCTGGTTGTCTGAGGGGAAACACCTTACTGCTGTCACATCCCTTTACAGTTAGCAGTACGACTTCGCCCTCAGACCTTGAGTTGCTGCTTTTAGTCTCATCGTTCTCCAGTCGACCTGCCTGGCATGGTCTATTCCTACACCAGACAATACTTGTCGAGGTAGTCGCTGGTTAGGCACACGTAACACATGCACAAACTAGCCCAACTGATGATTATTTACTACTTCATTGGTTGATTCAGCATCCTTACCCAGTACCCTTTTCGTAACCCTAGCATCGCTTACTCGACAGTTCAAGTATATGCGAGGAATGCTTGAAGTGCACCTATGATCAAGTGCTAGTTACCTACTAACATCATCTATGCTGAATTGCCATGTTTACCAATCAATTAGAAAAAGCGTAGACAAATTCAATATCAAGAGTCGAGTCAAAGGAAGAGACAATCAAAATAAACGTGCAGTGGTGAAATGACTGATCAATAAAAACTAATCAAAGTCAACAGGAAGTGAATATAAGTTACCTCCTGTTTACAGTGGATGTGCTGCTCCATGTAATTTTGACCATATCATCGCAAAATAACTCAGTAACTATTTGAAAATTATTAAAATTGGATTGTCTATTACAACTGTATAATTAATTTCAATGATAACATACTAGAACGATTGAGGTTACGTGTGTTAATTCATTCATGTTATACTACTTTTTATTAAGAAGTAGAATGAGTTGTATTCAGGTATATCTGTTCAGCGATTGTGACCGGAAAAACTACTTTTTGTAACAAACGACTAATTCTGTTCTCTCTGGATCTTTCTTTTTATTGTAAAGGTGTTTCTTTTAACCCTCCTTGTCTAACCTCCTTTATGTGGACTTCTTTTTCAACATAACGGATTTTGGGCCGTTGACCATTCTTTGAAATGTAATGCGCAATTTATTTTCATCAATGACTAGTGTTGATTATGCTATTAATCATGGTTGGAACCACCAATTGACCAGCATTAGAAACTTGGGCGCATTAGAAGGCCGTTCCGCCCTAGTACAGGGCTCCTCACCAGTGCGTATCCACAACCCTTCGCGCCCAAACTCTTTACCTATATACCTATGTTGTTAATGCTCAACTTCAATCAATCCTTCATCTTGCTCTACCTTCATCCACTGTTTGCAAAGGAGAACAATCTCCTACTCGACACAAGTTGAACTCCACTAGTCATAGCTTCTCTTTAGATGTACTAGAGAAGTTTTTCTTGTTTTTTTTTATAAATTCTGTATTTCAGTTCGTGTTTATTGATTCTGAAGCACTAATCTTCCATCTGCTATTACATTTACTTAGGCAATCGACTCCTGGATACCTTTCTAGTGATTAGTGACTCATTCTGTTGTCTAAGATAAAGTAGTAGAATTTCAAGTTAAATGACTGTATTTAGAAATCACAGCTCATCAAATTCTTTGGATATCACAAAGTGTATTAGTTTTTTCCTCTCTTCCTTTTTTTACTCGTGTTCATTTTCAGGTTAATGATCGTGCATACGCTGATGAAATTGAGCATTATAATATTGACAATGAACAATCCTATCGTAGCTTATCTGAATTACAATTGAATGAATTAAAAGAATTGCCAATTCCTTTGTTATTACCATCTGATGGCTATGCATCCGATGCTATTCTTAGCGGTATCCCAGATGGTCTGCTAGATTTTCTGCATCCGTTGGTTAAAACGGGTTTAATTAAAGTGAAAAAAAAATTGATTGTGAATGGACAATTAAAGGGTCGACCGTGGACTAATTGTATGAGAGTAGAGATGGTATGTTGGCGTTTTTTAACATTTAATATGTTGATTAAAGGGCTTGGATTGATAGATGACTTAAATCGGATGTTTGAACTGCATCATTCTCGATAAATGATTCATTATGTATTGTGCTCACTTATACTTAGATGTTTCTGCATTCAATCTCCTTCTACAGTTATGAATGTACACAAACTGAAGCGTCTTAAACTAAAAGAAAACAGATCTGTAATTTATCATGTATTAGATCATATTAAAAGTTCGTTTCATAACCCAAACAATCTCTACGGGTAACTATCGTAATGATAAATAAAATTTTACTACTGAATTCCAGACGTTATTAATAAGAAATATTAAGTCACATAAAACATCGAAGTAAATACATTGAAACACCAAACAAAGTGTAGGCAGTTCAAATATTTTGTCATTTTAATAGTCAGTTTTACATTTGATAGCGTACAGTATAAAACAGAGGAATTTCGCATCACTTTTATCAAAGACCATCGTACAGTTTAAGTACATAACAGAATCAAAAGGATGATATCTCTTCTCTGAGCTTTCATCATTCAATTCAATGATGCAATGAGTTTATTTCTCTGTTTCAAAAGAATATGCAATATTACTGATATGGAATGTTTAGATTTCAGAAATGTTTTCATCATTATAATTTAGTTTTATATACTGATTTTTAAAGTGTTATAAAATTGCAACGTGATTTGAAATCTAGTAGTACAGAGCTTTTGATTCATAGTTCAAGACTTAACAGCTTGATACCATTCTCAATCATTGCACGAGATCGTACCTATGAACGTAAACGTCTCTCAGTGAGCTCGAAACTTAGTGCACGACCAAAGCTGCTACCTTGTCCTGGTGGTCGGGTTTGCATATCGTGATGACCCAACCTAGCTATATTGTCTGGAACTTATGTTCCTAAAGGTTCTAACATGCCAGGCAGGTCGATTAGAGAACGATTAGAGTAAAAGCAACAACTCAAGGTCTGAGAGCGAAGTCGTACTGCTGACGGTAAAGGAGTGTGACAGTAGTAAGGTGTTTCCCTCGGACAACCAGCATCTGCAGCAATGCTGCCTTCTCTCAAGAAAGAAAGGCGTTAGAAAAGGTCGACCCCCAAAATGCAACACCTCACCTTACCTCACGGAGTTCCGTCTCCGGCGACATGGCCTTCTAAACAAGAGCGTGGCTAACACTTCAAAAACGTCTCATAAAGAGGTAATGTGTGACCAGCATCAAGCAGTTTTCCCTTTAGCTCCGCGGTTACGCTCCCAGTTCGTTAAGACCAACACTAATCTACCCAACCCTAACCCACGGTGTGTGTAGACGGTAAGTGAAATCCGCACTCAAACCCATACCAACACACGAGACGAAATCGGTCACAATCAAATCCTTCCTACACTCCTCAACACCTCTCTTATCTCCATGACTCAAGCATCTCATATTCCTTTATCATCCTGCTTTGGTAAAGCAAACAATTCGAGTTCATGTTGGTAGATGTAGGCTACCTAGTTAGGGTCCGCGAGACGATAGTAACCGATGGTTAGAGACCTTAAATGACATTGCTCAATATCGTTTGCGATGGCGCAGGTGCATTCATTCTTTGTGTTCTCTAGAATCCTAATCTTCTGGATTCGTCAACACCCCTACCTTTGTCTTTCTAAATTTTTCTCACTGAATTATACTTCTTGAATAATATCTTGGAACCCTAATCCTCTCTATTATCTATCACAAGTACTCTTACAATCTCTACCACTGTGCGATTATAATTGACAGTGGCGCCTCTGTGCTAATATGGTATGGCAACATGAACTGATGTACATACGTACGACGTGACGTTCTACGTTGCATCTGACTGACTGACTCATGAAACGTTATTCCTGATCTCCCGAAAACTCGTTCTAAATTACATGTTGCAGCATTTATTGTACGGACATTGTGTCAAACAGAGCAACAGGTTTCCCTATCTAGGAATTTAGAATCTCGCGCCATCGATGTATGCTGCGCCTCGGAGACGCGCATACAAGATTTCAGTAGAATCATTCATTTTACCTCACCATGTCAAAATAAAGATCCAGCTCGATTTACTCTTCGTGTATCTGGAAGCCCTGATGCTGCTTCTCGTGGTCTCCTTGGCGTGGGTATAGCATTGAGTCTTAGGGCAGAACTATTCTCTTCTAGACTGGACCCCAGTAGATAGTCGCTTGTGCGCTGTCCGACTGAACGGGACAGTGATGACTTGGAAAGATAGGGACACTCGTCGTTGCCTCTTCGTCGTATCTGCCTATGCTCCCACTGACTGCAGTTCAGACGACGTGAAGGATGAGTTTTACAGAAACCTCTCTAACAATCTTCAAAAATTCAAGCCCTCCGATATAGTAATAATGTCTGGTGACTTCAATGCTCAAGTAGGTAGACTGAGTGTAAAGGAAAGACACCTGTGTGGGTCTTATGGTGTCGCAGCTCAGAGAAGTGATAATGGCGACCGTCTGTTGCAACTGTGCTCAGACAACCGCCTATTCTTAGAAAACACTAACCTTAGGCATAATGAAAAGCATCTGTTGACCTGGCGACCTCCAAAGTCGTCTCGACGTTGGAGGAAACTAGATCACATTGCCATCAGCCACCGATGGAGTGGTTCGATAAAGGACTGTCGCTCGTTCTGGGACACATGTTTAGATTCAGATCATGCCCTAGTGCGAGCGCGTATTTGTTTGCGACTTACCGGACGTAGGAAAGACACCGCAAGGAAACCTCTTAGGATTCTACTTAATGATAACAAAGCGAAGAATATGTTTTAGGAACAATTAGAAAAGGTTAGGCAGCCATTTAAAGGATTCCCATCTGGAGACATCTTGGAATGATATCCAAAAGGTTGTGGAAACAGAAGTGATATCTGTTGGTAAGGTAAACCATAAGGTTAGGGAGAAACTGTGGATTTCAGTAGCATCTACCAAACTGATGGACGCTCGAAAACTCATCCCACCTGACTCTGAACATGATGAAGAGCGAGGTCAGCTTAGTCGCAGGCTAATAAAAAGCCATCGCAATGACCGCGAACAGTGGTGGGTGGCGAAATCGAAAGCAACGGGAAAGGCAGCAACAGTAGAAAACTTTTCCGTCTTATAAAATAAACTGTTATTAGCAATCCATCTGTTAGCGAAAGATCTCAGAAAGGTATGGCTGCATCATTCATTCTCAATCCAGGAGATTCGATCGATGGGCAGAACACTTTAGGGATCGGTCCAACTGGCTTTCAGACACACTTCGCCTACCCACGATCTCCAGTCAACCTGATTGGCGAATCAATATGTCCTTTGACTGTTTACGAAGTGGAAAAGGTTGTAGGAAATCTGAAGTGGGGTCGAGCCTTAGGGCCTGACAGACTTACTCCTGAGATTTTTAAGGATGATGGTCCCGTTTTAGCAGTTAGATTGACTGAGATCTTAGGTAGAATCTGGGAACTGGACGTAATACGATCTGAATGGTCTCAGTCGCTAATTGTCCCAATTTACAAAAAAAGTACAAAAGTCTTCTTGTGACAATCACAGGAGAATCAGTCTAACTAATATAGTTTCTAAATTTTTAGTCTCGATCATACTTAGACGCCTAAGTAGAGCTTGTGAAGAGCAGGCTAGAGAAAACCAGGCTAGTTTTCGACCTAAATGTGGATGTATAGACCACATCTTCACACTACGACAAGTTTTGACACAGGCACACATTTAGGCGTCGGATAATATTTGTCTTCCTGGGCCTTAAGGCGGTGTTAGACTCTGTTAAGCGTGAGGTTCTGTGGTAGTGTCTGTCATTGAAAGATGTACTAAGGAAGTACTGGATTCAAGGTAATAACTATTTTGTAATCTTTGGTTGCTGACTTAGTGGTGTGAATATCAAGTGTGAGACAAAGATTCTGTGTTCGATATCCGATTAGAACATGGATAAGCTCTGTTGAGCTGTCCTATATCGGAAAGTAACAATCATCCAGTGTTACTTGTTTTTCAATAATTGTCTAACTTATAGTAATATGTCTAAGATTCCATATCACATTAATTGTGTGTTATTATTAGTCTTGTAATAGTCCTATCAAGAATTTATTATTCCTTTGAGATATCAATGATTTTCTTTTACTTTTTTTACCAATCATTCTACAGCACGAAAATGGACATTCCATATTGAAAGTATCACAAAAGCAACTTCACAAAAGCCATAATAATTATCATAATAATATTCAACAATCTGTGCGAAGAAAATATGATCGGGAAATAAAACAGGAAAAATTAGATGCTCATCTTCTTCATTGTAATAACAATAACAGTTTAACTAATTCAAATAGTAGTCTGAATAGCACCACAAGCACAGCCAGTGTTGATAGTAATGGAAATCATTTCAAAGAATTCTCTACTAAAACTGTACATTATCAATCAAATATACCATTGAATGGTGGTAATTTACAAAAATTATTTAATTCAAAAACAGTCACATCGCAGATGCATAAAGATACAAGAACACATGTTTCATTACCTGATTTAAGTTATGCTAATTTCGAACATTTAGCTAAAGAAGCTAATGTACCAATCAAGTCGATTGTACATATATTCTTGAAAAAGATAAATAATAATTTGGGACTAAGCATAGTAGCGGCCAAAGTAAGTGTTAATTTAATATGTAATGATTTTTTTCTTCATATTGTACGTCATTTCATAATTCTACATTGTATTATGACTTTAGTGATCGGTTTGTAGTTGTTTAGATATTAATTGTTCATCAATAGTCTGTAAGAAAATCTCAACTGAAATTCTGAACTAGTTGACACGTCATCAAAACGTGTTTAAAATCTTGAACGAACTGATACTATTTGTGGAATCCTAATCTCTTTTATACTAAGCTATTTGGTCTGAAACTGACCTCCTGTATATGTAAGATATTTTAGTCACATTGTAGCTTAATCGATAGGGTTTGGTTAATAGTTGAGAACTAAACAAACATTATGAAGCAATCCTAGATATCACGTTTTCCTAGTTCTTAGTTATGATCAAATATTTTAATTAAATTAGTGCTTGTGTAAGCGACTCGACATAGTAATGCGCTTTTTGGTACGGCATAATTTGAAAAGTCTGCATCTAGATTTTATCTTTCACTGCACTTGTCTAATAGATACCGGTCATCTTGAAAAAAGTTGGGATTTCCGGTTTGAAATGAATCCACATACTAAATGTGCTTGAATTGATTTTGTTTAGAATCTGGAATAATACTAAACGTTACAACTCAACTGCTACTTCAAAAATGTTGAAGGCAATGTTTATGCTTATCAGTGTTTTTAGGACGTTGGAGATTATTTAAAGGATTTCTAGTCTTTAAATCAGCAGTTAAATACAGTCCTTCTCAATAACATACATCTAAGTTTTGTTCAAACTTGATATGAACCGTCTACATTGAGATCCCTATGGATTTGTGTCAGAATATAGCAGAGCAGCATGGTTTGTTAATGATTTCTAATTTTCACTGGTTATCTAAAAAAATTTAATTATCTCTTTTATACTGTACTTCTTTCAGTAGGGACTGAAATTATTTAAATAATTTCCATTTGCGGCTAATCCAACCCTTATAAAGTGAGACTTAAGGTTTATAAATCATGAAGAATACATAGACATAAACTTGATTTATTAGCCATGAGTATTCAGAGTAGTATGTTTTCAAAATGGAGGATAAAAAAATACCTGTCCTTTTAAGTTTTGAACTACGACAAAAAACTACTCAGCATCCTAATTTGTACTGGTTTGAATGATCTCGTCACTGATGTTCCCTTCACTGAATTTTTATAAGTCTAGGCTGGCATATGTACAAAATATTCCTCGATATTGACACTATTCTACAAGTGTATGTACAATAGAAGGACTTTGAAAAGTGGTAGAACTGAAATTCATTCAAGAATGCCATCACGAGATAAATCATAATAATACAAATCACAATTCGCACTTAAGTTAGTAGAAGTCTAGACCCAGTGACTCAGTGGATAATGCGTCAGGAGATTTAAATAACATTTACAAGTTTGAGTTCCGATGTGAGTTTTAACAATGGAATTTAAGCACATCTAGTTAACGATTCAGAATCTTCTGGATTTTAGTTGCCTTTCAGAAACTGTCAACTCGTTTTTTAGACTTCACAAAATCTACAGGCTTTGAATGGGTAGGAATAGATGTTGACTGGATTATTGAACGATGGACTGTGAAACATGTTTTTCCTGCAGGTATTCGTTAAGAAATCTCTTGAGATTACCTGCACCATTGAATATATCTTTCCTAACGCCCCAGTCATGATTGAGGACGGCCTAAAGTTTTTGTTGGCAGAACTTGATAATGTGGATAAATGAATACCAGCTCACAAACCTAAAAGAAACGTGTAAACTGTGATGTCTGTTAGTCCTAATTACCCTCCTGTTTTGGTTATGTGTATGGAGCACTTAGGAATGGAAATATACTAACTTGCCTGTTACTCCTCGCGGAGCATAGGCTGCGGACTTGCAATCTCCAACCAACACTGTCAAGTTCTTCTTTCCAGTAGTCCCGAACTGCTATTAATTCTCCTAATATCTGCCTCTGATTCCCGTTGGGATGTGTGTTATTTATTCTGCCTCTTTTCTTTTGGCCTTTCGGATTCCATGTTTGGACCTATCATGCAATGCGTTTGAGTGCTTTCCGAAAAGTGTGGCCTATCCACCTCCAGTGCGTTTTCCTAATTTCTTCCTTGGCTGGAATCTGATTTGTCCTCTTCCATAGTAGTTTGTTGCTCATGGTTTCTGACCATTGGATCCACAGTATCTTTCGTATACAACTGTTAATAAACACCTGTCCTCTGTGCATTATTTTGCAGTCTTATCCACCGTAGTAATTCCGTTTGATGTTAATTATCTTCTTAGGTACACCATGGTGTCAAGGAAGTGCCCGTAGAGTTCTCCTCTCTAGGCTGTCGAATGCTTTATCGTAGCCAAGGAAGTTCATGTTGATTGATGAGTTCCGTTCTAGTTACTGTTTAAAAATCATTCTTTGTGTCGTGATTTGGTCAGTACACAATCAATCCGGAAGTTGGGCGCCTACTGAATCTGTCATTCGGTTCAGCAACAGTCTGTTGAAGACGTTTCCTGGTACGGATAGTAATGTAGGGATGCATCGATGGTCCTAGGTCCACAAGACGAGTAGTTAACCTCACGCTCAACCCTTCTTTATCCGTACCTGTGATTGACAATAACACTACCTGCGCTTCACATAGACCTTAGCTTCTGATAAACCTACAAAGATTGTTTACAAATCAATATTCACCTAATCAGATGATGACTCAACCCGTAGTTTTTTGACTGGCCAAAGTATGCCGTCTTTGTTGTTATTGCTGGTGGGCTCACGACACTGAGTGATATTCATTGTAATCTCCTCCTTCTTTATTTTCAAGGATGCTTTGATGATCCTGGGTCCATGATAACCTCATCCTATAAATGCATTTTGTTCTTCTTTAGATAGCACCAGTGCAATTCCTTGTGTCTGAGAGGAATTTCTTCATAGTCGGGGTTCAAAAGTATCTCTGCTGAAGCTAATCTTTTTTGTGAGAAATTAGCTCTGTGATCTCAGTTATTGATCAGTTCGCCAGCATAGCTCCATCTGTTAAAAGAACAATACTCATTATTACCATTTTTTTTCTGAAAGATACCTGTTTTTGGCTTAATTTAAAGTCCATTATCTTTATTCTGTAAAGCGAATCAACTTATTTCATTGTCTTAATGTTGAATTGTCTCCAAGCTGATCATGTCTATCCTAGAGTCCTCATCAATATCTTATTTGAAATATTCAATTACACTAATAATTGCTTTTACTTTTCATTATTCATCGACCAAATAAATAGCTGAAATTACTAAGTGAGTTATTAGGTTATTTCTCTGACATTAATTATTTAGGCAAGTTTATGGAATATTATTTTCATGATTTATAGTGTGAACTGATTATAGGTAGATAACCTTTGAAAATCTTGAAAAACTGAGGTATTCTTTCGTTCTTGTACAGGATTTGTCAGTAATGAGCATACGTACCTGCATCAGGGATCAAGCCTTCAGGTTTCACGTGATAACTAAATCCTTAAATAACTAATTACATTTAATTTGATTCAAATAGAAATTTGTTTTATTTTAATACTGAATGTTTCACCGCCCTTTTCTTTGCTGTCATAGGCTGAAGGTCATCACTTATATGGAATCTATATTAAAGATATTGTACCAAATGGTGCAGCTGATAATGATGGTCGGTTAAAAACTGGTGATCAAATTTTAACCATTGGTAATACAAGCTTAATTGGTTGTGCACAATCGGATGCTGTTGCAAAAATTTCGAAACAAAATAAATCAGATGATGGTATACAAATGATTATTGCAAAGAAAGCTGCTCAATATCATAAGATTATGGAATTAATCCGACCAAACAATAATCATGCAACAGAAACAACTACTTACAACAGAATGCACCATGACAGTAGGTTTTTACCATCAACTGAAGTACATTTGATTTCTTCAGAAAATAATCATCGTGTACATGATCTACTCCATTTTAATCAAAGTCAACCTGATGTAAGTTATTTTTTAAACCAACAAAATTTAGATGGGAGAAGAGTAAGAATGACATTTTTCTATTATGGAATTCTCTGAACTAGAGAATCTCTCAATGTCATTCACAATGAGATCACTAGTGGTCACTTCATTTAGATGTACTTATAAATGAGGTGTTAACAAGTAAAACTGTTCAGAACCCCTTTAAACTTCTTACAATTAAACCATCTAGCTCAGAGAACTCAACAACATTAATAGTACTGCTTAAGCAGAGAATCTTTATCATTTCAAAAAATGTAAAAACAACATTTCGAACTAAGTAACTGGCTGCATAATTTCGAAATTTTCTAATCACTAGTTCTGTATCGACTTCATCAATAAAAGCGTATGGCATTCTCTGTTCAGGTCGAAAGACCGGCTTTGCTCCATATTGTAAATACAACTTAGCGTTTCCAATTGTGCAACATACTAACTTGCCCTAGAACAAATCTGTATGCTTTCGAAAAAATCTTAATCGTTATAGCTTTCTCGGTTACGTGAACGCTCGGTAAGTTTCTAGAGCTATTCAAGCTTTCCAAAGTACATATTTTGCTGAATAGTAAATCTGAAATTTAGTTTATCTATCTAAGGTCTAAATCACGTATTTTCGTTAAATAGCGCTTTCCGAAATACCACAAGACATCCTATCGTCCCAACAAGCTTTGGTATATAGATGAATGTATACTGGGCGTGATTAGTTGGTAATACCTCTGGATAGCCCTTAGGTGTTCATGTTTTAACATATTGCTTCTTACTTACGCCTGTTACCCATGATGGAGCATAGGCCACCCACCAGTTTTCTCCAACCAACTCTGTCCTGGGCTTCCCTTTCTATTTCTTTCCAGTTTTTGTTCATTCTTCTCATATCTTTCTCTATTTCTTGGCGTAATGTGTTCCCTGGCCTTCCTCTTTTCCTTTGACCTTGAGAGTTCCCTGTGAGGGCTTGTCTTGTGATGCAGTTGGGTGCTTTATGCAGTGTGTCCTATCCACTTCCACCACCTCTTCCAGATTTCCTCCTCCACTCGAATCTGGTTTGTTCTCTCCCACAGTACGTTGTTGCTGATAGTGTCTGGCCAACGAATCCGTAGTATTTTACGAAGACAACTGTTCATAAATACTTGTATCTTCTGGATAATGGCTTTGGTAGTTCTCCAAGTTTCCGCTCCATGCAGTAGAACTGTCTTGACATTTGTATTGAAAATCCTGATTTCGGTTTTGTTTGAAAGTTGTTTGGAGTTCCAGATATTTTTCAACTGTATAAATGCAGCCCTTGATTTGCGATCCACGCCCTCACATCTGCATCGGATCCATCTTGGTTGTCGATGATGCTGCCCAGATATGTGAACATGTTAATGTCCTCCAATGCATCTCCATCAAGATTGATTTGGTTGGTGTATGTTGTGTTGCATCGGAGAATTTCGCTTTTGCTTTTATGTATGTTGAGACCTGCTGCTGCAGAGGCTGCTGCTACGCTGGTTCTCTTCTCTTGCATTTGTTGTTGCGTGTGCGATAGAGGAGCCATGTCATCTACGAAGTCCAGATCGTCCATCTGCATCCTAGCTGTCCATTGGATACCGTGCTTCCCTCCAGATGTTGACGTCTTCATAATGTAGTCGATCACCAGGAGAGAGAGAAGGGGTGAGAGTAAGCAACCTTGTATGACACCGGTCTTCACCTCGAGAGAGTCTGTTAGCTGTCCTTCGTGCACGATTTCGCAGTTGAATCCATCATAAGAATTCCGTATGATGTTGGCTATTTTCTCAGGCACACCGTAGTGTCGAAGAAGCATCCACAGTGTTTTCCTATCCACGCTATCGGATGCTTTCTCGTAGTCGATGAAGTTGTTGTAGAGTGGTGAGTTCCACTCCATTGATCGCTCCACAATTATCCGTAATGTTGCAATTTGGTCAGTACACGATCGATCCTTACGAATTCCAGCCTGTTGGTCTCGAAGTTGGGCGTCTGCGAAGTCCTTCATTCTGTTTAACAATACTCTGTTGAAGACTTTGTCTGGTATTGAGAGAAGAGTGATGTCTCTGTAGTTCTCACACTTGCTCAGGTCGCCTTTCTTTGGTATTTTCATGAGGTATCCTTCTTTGCAATCTGATGGTACTTGTTCCTCATCCCAAATCTTGTTGAAGAGAATGTGAAGTATTTTTGCAGTTGCTTCCACGTCTGCTCTGCTGGAATGTTGTCTGGTCCTGCTGCTTTGCCGCTCTTAATTTGTCTGATGGCCATACTGATCTCTTCAATTGTATGTGCGCCAACATCGATTGGGAGGTCGTAGATGTTACTTCGATGTTGGATGTATTCAATGGAGCTTGTCGATTCGAGAGTTCCTTGAAGTGCTCTACCCACCTTTTTCTCTGTTCTTTAGTGTTGCTGATTACTTTGCCTTCCTTGCTTTTCACTGGTCGTTCTGGTTTACGATGGTTTCCGGCGAGCTTCTTTGTTTTTTCATACAACTGTCTCATGTTCCCATCTCTTGCAGCCTTTTGCGCCGTCATTGCTAGATCTTCCATATATTTTCGTTTGTCAGCTCTGATGCTCTTCTTCACTTGCCTGTTTGCTTCTGTAAATGCAGCTTGTGCCTTAACTTTATCTGCTCTTGTTCGGCTGACATTGATTGCTGCCCTCCTGTTCCTCCTTTCTTCAATTTTTGCAAGAGTATCAACAGAGATCCAATCCTTGTGATGATACTTCTTGTGACTCAGAACTTCGTGACATGTTGAAGTGATTGCTTCCTTGATCCCTTTCCAATTGTTCTCCATTGAGTATATCGTGCAAGGCCTGAAACGTATAGGAGAGGGCTATCTTGAATTCGTTGAGTTTTGCGGTATCCCGAAGAAAGGTCGTATTAAACTTCTGTGATGTTGTCTGCCGCGTTATCCAGTGTTTCTTGAGTTTCAGTTTTATTTTAGCGACCAGCAAGTGATGATCTGAGGCTATGTCAGCTCCTCCCTTGGTTCTCACATCCTCCATGGTCCTTCTGAACTTTTTGTTGATGCAGATATGGTCGATTTGGTTCTGAGTAGTGTGATCCTGTGAAATCCATGTGTATTTGTGTATGTGTTTGTGTGGGAATATTATGTAAATACAAACCGCATCACACAGCAGATCAGCTGATTAATAATATTAACCAAGAATGACAAGATCAATCATAGGAAATACACAATAAACACAAATAATCTGTTCTAGCACATGTATGGAAAATGTTATAGCATCAACTTGCAGTTAAAATAAAAGTTCCTAACTAGGGTAACCCGAAAATAATAAAATCGAAATACTTGATAAATATTCAACCATTATGACCTGAAAACAATAGCTTCTTGAGTTCGTTACCTCCTAGTTAGTTCGTCCCTCACGTCAGTACACTAAACGTATTGTCAGTAGTCTTTTATTTCTAAATATCAACCTAGCTACCGTGAAATGACTTATATTCCTTTTAAACAACACACCAGGCTAAACGGCGTATATATATATATATATATATATATATATATATATATATATATAGTATATACAATATACGCCGTTTAGCCGTAAATTGTCAAATAGAATGCATAAAAAGTGCATTCTATCCTGCACAATTTCAGTGCGATCACCATTCTTTAGATTTTCAAATAAATGTGATGCCTTCAAAACTTGTCAAAACTGATGCCAATTTTCAAGTCAGTACTGAATACTGAGTTTATTCTACTAATGATTTAGACCGCAGTTGAAATACGTGCATGTGAATTTCGTTTAAAGATATATATATATATATATATATATATATATATATATATATATATACTATGTATTTACTTCAATTTTAGCTTCGTATTCAAACTCAACAAGATCGCAAGATTGTTAGTAATCCATCAAGAAATACTACTACTAAACAGGCTAACTGTAACCATCATTCCGGGTCGCATCGCTATCACCACTACAAACAGCAACAGACCAACATTGATAAATCTGACAATACACACAAATCACGTGATAATCACCATCGAGTCAATAAAAGTCGTCAGTTGGATAAAACAAAACAAAAGATTGGTTTTTTAAGTCGGTCTACACCATCACTGAATCTAGCTGAAGTTGGAATCAATGATGCTCGGGTTGAATTAGACCATGATAAAAGTTGTGTTGAAAATAATCTTATGTCAAACCTTTCAGGGAATCGTTCGATGGAAAATAAAACTCATATTTTAGGAGAAATCGAAAGAGTAAGACTGCTGGTTTTAATTTTTTATACATTTACTTTGCTGTTAATCGATAATAAAAAATATCTCAATCTTATGGTAAGTGATTTACTGTTGGATAGTTTAATGGTAATACTGTGACACTGAGGGGAGAATGTTTAACTCTCTTTGGAAAGCGTCGTTTTCTTCTGGATTACAGATATACCATAGTTGTACATACTGACCGGCATAAAAACTCGATTCACCACGTTCTATCATTTAACATGAAACCACGTGGTCACCGTACCCTTATAATATATTCAAATCATCATTGAAATGATGATGTATGGTAAAAATATTCAGATGATTTAGGATTATTCGTACGGAAAAGATTTAAACAAAATGGCATCGATCCATTTCTCGGAACAATATGATGTTTAATTTCATTGAACTCATTTATAAACCTAAATAATTAAAAAAAACTGTTAGAAATATACAGTTTAAAGAGTGATTCCTAGGGGCATTAACCCTAATATTTCTGAAGAATGATTCACTAAACAGTAATCTTGTGTTGTTTTTATTGATCTCCCTATAATTAATTGTTACAATACTTTTTAATCGTCCAGAAATTACAAAAATTAGTCCTATCCAGATAAACTATCCACTTAAACTTCTGAACATAACAAACATTTATCGATTCTGGACACTAACTTCTTACATAAAGTGTCTGGGTTATTAGCAAAAGTTTCTGAGTTAAAGTTTTAGCGGTTATTGTATAAACATTGGAATGGAGGTACATCCAACTGATGAGTGCCAACGGGAACTAAACATGTGTCATGGACTCTAGAATAACCTGTTTATTCATTAATCATCGAGATTTATAATTTTTGAGACGTTCTCACTAAATATATTAGTTGCACAATCCCTTCAGTCAGGAATCGGAATGATAAAAGTTATCTCTGTCCATCTCAGGGAGAGACATATCTATACCTTCATACAATGCTCGGATGATATATGGGATTTGTCCCATAAACAAACTTGGACAACCAACTGAATATCAACCTAACCCATCATTCTCGAAAAACGTGAATTAATTCCTAATTATTCATGGTATCCTACAAAGGTACATGAATCTACTATGAGTATGTGTGTACTGTGGAACGCATAGGTCCTGTCATTGAGTATATGCAACGTTTACTTGCAAAAAAACGACTTCACTGATTAAAAGCATCCCATAATAACAGATATCTCGCTTTGATGGTTGTGCTTCTGAATAAATAAGGAACAAATACCAGATAAGCCAATCATTTTTAAAAAGTAGGCATTCCCAGCATGTAATAACTAGACGAGACAGTTGTGGCCATATATCTTATTGTCCGCTTTTATAGTTATACATTCAGATATTTGCGAAGTGGTGTAGCAAAGTGTTGTGATCAGAGTTTATGGATTCATCATTACTCCTATGCGTCAAATATATGACCAGGCGTGGTAAAATGAAATATTTGATTACATACTGTTGATGATTGTCATATTAACGATATTTTAAATTTATCTTGATGTACAAAAGAATCTAATTTGTTTCTCTAGGGTGATTACTATTCAGCAAATGTAAAATGTTATTAATTTACCACAAATTCATGATTGTGTATATTAACAATTATCTTCTTTCTTGACTTGAGTTCAGTTCAGCTTAGCTTAGTTATTTTTACATCATTCATTTCGAAGAAAATGTATCCTTAAGTTCTTTGTGAGATTTTCCACTAACCTTATTGTTCAAACTACTGTTAAACCCTTTTATAATTATTGCATAACCCATGATGCCATTGTTTCAGATCTAGATAAATTTTTCTACCCCACCACCTGCATTTCCTTACATTTTCGAGAGGACACTTCTATTAAATGAACAACTTTATTGATGAAACTCGTGATATTTTGAGTAATTTGATGACCAGTTGTGATTATTTCAATTTATTCATTGGTAATTTTAATCAATCGGATGAAATTTGTAAGGAGTTGATACTATTTATGCACTTATTTACTTTCATAAACCGAAAAAGACAGAATACAATGAATTCATTGTATTTCGTTTTTTTTCATTTCACAAGACATCAGACGTTCGTCAGTTTAATATAATGGACTGATTAAGGTTTGAATTGTGGATCCCAATTGTTTAGAACTCATTGCGTGACTAAAAGGTCCAATGAAAGTTATGAGTGGCGAATATTGCCGGCAAATTTTCAGAGCATTAAGTTAATTCGATCTACCCACTTCAATCAAAGTTTTAATCAACTTGCATCCTTTTGAATCAACTGCCAACATACTTTCAAAATCTGCTTCTTTTTTAACAACTATTTCATTTTCATTTGTAAACCCTAAATGACTGAAGCGGTTAAGATGTATGTTGTGAATAATCTGTTACCACATACGTCGAAATCCGATGCAAGTTAATAAAGATGTAAGTTGGAAGAAAGTTGATGGTCAGATTAAAACGTGCCATTAGTCTATGAAGTCATTGACTGTTGGTTCGAGTCTTGTTGGTAGTAGAGGTTCGCGCGATCTCCATTACAGTGATTGGAGAATTTCCAGTATGTCACAGAATCGATCACAACAATGCTGGTGCTTTCATGCTTTACATTCCTCCATATTTTAAGCATCAGAATTCTTTCATATCTTTCGATCTTTTTTGTAATCATATTCTCACTGCTTAGTTAATTACATTGTCACTATTACTAAATCATTTTGTCTCTTTTACTATTTATTTCGTAGTTTCATCTTTGTGAGTTGATGCAATATAGTAACTTGGGTTAACGCATATTTGTCCCAGGCTCTATACTGACCATGAATGATTAACTGTTTTATTTGCATAACCTTTACAACTTCATTCACAGTTAAACACGAAAACGGATATTCTGTCTTCAGAGTAGTAACTGATATATATTTAAAAGGCTTCTAGATTTTAAATAAGTTTCTCTAAAAGTTGTCGCTGAAAACGAGCACTAATATATGCTTTTTTTAACCATTACTCTATATCGTTTTTAAAGTAACCCATCTTACTATCATGTTTCAGTTGATAATGGGATTAGTTCAATTCAGAGTCTGTTTCCCCGTCTTTACAGGGAAAACTGATTACCAGTTTCCTTCCTTAATCGAATTCATGAGGATTACCAGCTACTCAAAATTTTTCAACACGAAGGTTTGTATTTTATCCTTTCTAGAAACTTTTCAATAGCGGGACCTGCTACTCTGTATGGAATTAAGTTGAAACCTTCAAAACTAGCACCCAATAAGTTGAGTTTTAGACAATTGGTTTGAAAATTAGTGGTTTATATTTCCATCGGTCAGTTTGTTTCATTCATAATAATAATAATAATAATAATAATAATAATCTCACTGTTCAATAGTTTAAATACGCTAGGGAATTCCCAACGTAGCATTTAATCATTAGTAAAGTAAAATCTAGCATTTAGATTTATGGGTTCACGGTACCACACAAATCAACACATAGAGATTTGATTACCACGATGTAGCCCTGGAATCGTAGCGGGTAGTGGAAAAGAATTGGTAAGGCATTATGATTCGATAGGGGAAATGGATATACGAGGTAAAAGGTGTAAGTATTTTAAGACAAAGAGTAAACCTACTTTTACCGTTACGACCCATCTCAAGGCATGTAATCCAATAGCTCCAGTCACTAGTTATGATAATCGCGCAAACCCTGAACCCAGTGGTTTCCACATACAGCGCGATTCGGTGTTATAATCAGTGATTTTATGGATTGATTCTGCATCTTGGTTTGGTAACTCCTATCTTTCTGTAAACAACTCTTACACCGGCAAACATAGAGCTCCAAGGTAGGCAATTTTTGAGTATAATACTTTCGATAAGTAACTATCACATTCTTCACATAGTTATTGGTCAGTTTGATTGAAATAGATAACTTTAACTTGAATGTTTTTCTCACAGAATACTTTCGTTTTCTCTGTTCTTGTGATTAGCCTCAAAGTGTTGGAGCTCTATCCAGTTCACAAGTTAATGAACCACACTTACAACTGAATTCTTCATCATTTAGCACTACATCATCGGAATCAGAAATTATTGTGAATGAACCGGATATTGGACAACATCATGATCATAAAAGTAGCTTCAATAATGACCACTTGCCTAAAAGCCAACAACGTGAAGATTTAAGAAGAACAGAATCTTCAATTAAATTATCTAAACAGAAATACAAATCTCACAAACTATCTAATTCATCATCATTGTCATCTCACCAAATGCATAAAAATTCTCATTCACAAACAAATGTATTAGAACATGATGAGGATAATTTTAATAATGTATGTGAAAGGCATACACCTATAAACGGTAGTAGTTTTCCCCCTCTTGCTCATCATCAGCATCAATATCATTATGAAAGACATCGACCAATAGTTGAATCATTGTCGAATGATCTAAGTAGTTTGGAATCAGTAACTAGTCAGCAAACTGTTTTTAGTTTAAATGAATCTCAACCAATAACGGGAACCTACAATAATACGAAAAATGAAGCAAACGGTAATGAACATCGTTGTATTCGTAATCAACTGCCACCACCTCCAACTCAATGTGATCCATCATCGATTGATGGTGGTAGGTGCTAGTTAGTTTTAACATTTCTCTTCATATTTTAAATCAATTTATCAATTGTATTTTTGTAATTTTCTGCACACAAGTTTTATGTAAATCCTAAGTTACTTCAAACTAGAGTGAATGGTGTTCGGAATACTAATAACTTTTAACTCAGAAGACAGCTTTGTGTAGTCTGAGCTTCACAATATAAGTATTCAAACCAAGGCAATGATCATCCCTAAAACCGAAACATTCTACCAATATCTGTGGCAACATTGCATACCATTATCTGTTTGACTAAAGCTCAACTTTACGCTATTTCATTAGTGTAATGTATAATCGTAACTTAACTAATACACCTGAACTTCAAATATATTAGCTGAATGCAGTTTGCACTGGGATAATAACCGTGTTTGAAACCAAATGAATAAGTCAACCAAACAAAATTAGCCTTATTAGTACTGAATTGTTATTTTAAACAAGTACTGTGGTAAGATCTTAACTGCTTTGGTAGATCATACTCACCACAAAACTGACTATAACCGCGAACAATGGATTTACGGAGTTCATTTATTTTCTGAATGCAAACATGTGATCTGGATCATAACAACAACCAATGCATATTTCATTCTGAAAAAATTACACTTGAATCATCTTTTTCTCATTAAGAACAAGTTACTCACTATTGATTCTGATATTGGTTGTTTTTGTAAGCGACGAGAGCTGAGAAATGCTAATTAATTTTTAACTGAGTTGAACTGATTAAATATTTGTCAGCTGTCCTGTCTGATGCATTCTGGTTATTCGAAAAATTAAATTCGTTGTAAACTAAAGCAAACTAAAAAACTTAGCAAGATGCAGCAATGTCTCTCTCTGGAGTAATCTGTCATCAAAATTTACATTTCCCGTGTAAACGGCTGAAGTTATTCATTACCTTTTTCACTATTCTAGTTATGTGGTAAATTAGTGAGATGGTGGAAAAAACTTGTAGCTCAGGTGGATGATTGTGGTGGTGTTTCGTTCTCTGAGCTGGTTGTTTTGGTTGTGGAGCTTTCATTGTTATTCTGAACAACATCATCAGCACAAACTTCAGATAGAAGTGAAGCATTCGAATTTCTCCACGTTTGACGTGTAGCTTGTTCTGCAAACCTCGATCTTGATTGGTTGTTGTTGACCTTCTAGTCTTTTCTTAGTACAATTTATGCGTGAATGTTACACATTAGATTATAACTGTCACTAAAAATCTCATTTCAAGCGTTTGAAGTTATCCACAGCTATATGCTATGAACATGTCAGTGTAATGCAATCAAACATGCTGGATGGAAAATAAAAATTTATTAAATTAAATTTTATAAAGGAAAATACTCTTTTATTTGTAGCATCCACCCACGAAATGGACAGATATATAAACGAAACTAATCATTACCTAAACACTGCAAATATAACGGCGGGTAACATTAAAGACATGAAATTCAGTGCAGAGATCTTTTTTCAATAAATTTTTTCCCAAGTTTTACCATAGCACTTTAAGGCCTCATTTCGTTAGTGAATATAAACAATAAGTAAACACAATTTTAATACAAGATCATTATACTATGTACGTTGTATTGTTGCAACATACCATCATGAAATTAAGCCTTAAAATCACTTATACACATATTTGTACAGCTTGATAATAAATTCGTTATAAAAGGATCCTTTTGTTGAATTTTGTGTTTTAATTACTTCACATTGATTAATTCCACTATCACCTATTTAGTTCAACAAGATTTTGATGGTGTACAATTCATAGGTTTATCATGTCATGTAACACAGTAGTCTAGAAATGACATATTATTATTAGATAACCAATCATCTATGTACACAAACATATAGGGTGAGATAAAATAAAATGAAACAATTGATTGGACAACTATGAAATGAGTATTCATCATGAAATCAATAATTTACAATAAAACGAGTTTAACTCGCTCTTAAAAATTAAATTATCGAACTGAAAACGAATAAAACCACGATAGATTGAAAGAGTATGTATGTGTAACCGAGATAAACATTGATATCAAACTTAGAGCACTATATTTCTCTCCAATGTCCAACACTGATCAAGATAATTTTTCATATTTTCGTCATCAAGCTATTAAAACTGATCTTATCATGAATAACAAAGTTAGTAGAAATGGAAAACCAACTTGGCGTGAAACGGATTTAGATCATTTTACAAAGACTAATTATCAAGATAACAATCATAATGATGAAAATTCACCTGAGAATGAATGGAGTCAATATAAATCAACTGCTGTACCATGTCAGAATTCTAATGAAATTTCAAGGTGAGAAAGAAAACCTTTAATAACGGTTTGTAATTTAATATTCAACAATGTTATGAAATAGTCATATATGCATCCTGAATGAATTGCTTTATTATATAGCATTGTCATAAGTTTTGTTATATTTTGTATGTGACTAGCAATGGAATCCAGAACGCTTATTTCATCTTTCTTGAAGCAATAAGTACTAGCTTCACGCCATGATGTGAGAATCAATACACTGGGGTGAAGGTACATCTTGTTGACGAGTCCCATGTAGAAGGAAATAGGCGTTAAAACGAATCAGTTCATTTATTTTTTGGGTGGGAAACTCTATTATGCTTTCAAAAATGTCTCGACACAAAGTTTATATGTTTGATGAAACAATGTACAGATTAATCATAATACTGAGATTCATTCGCTAATGCTATTTAACAATGCTGTAAAACAGCTTTTGAAAGTAGTATTTTGTTTGATGTGTGTTGAACCTAGGATCTGAGAATCCATTATCGCGTTTAACCAAAAAGAAAATCTATTCTTACCTTCTCCGTAAGTTTATATTTATATCGGATAATTACCCAGATGGTTTTAATTGTGAAATGCTTTACAGTTAAACTTCTTTAGGTTAAAAAATATCGTACATTTCCTTCTTGTTATAACCAGTTCCTCATTAATGAGGATAAAACATTCGAGACGAATGCTTAGACCAGAAATATTTTCTAAACGTTCATAGAAAAGGAAAGTAGACTAACGTATCAAACTCATAATTCATTCATGATATAGGTTTAATGTTATATTTATCCTATACGTAATTTGAAGCGTGTTATTTTTAATTGAACTAACAATTTTTCCTAAGTTAAACATATGAGTTTTCACTGTCAGGATAATGACATTACATTAAGGTCAGTTTTAAAGTGTTTGATCAAAACAATAGTCACCTGTCACTAGGTATTTGTAAAGTCTACAAATACATTTACATAATGAGAAAAAAAAATCAACTTTTTACCACTGATAACTACCCTTAAAATGTTTAAGTTTACAATTAAAGTCACCGCTGTATACTATGTTTGATAAATCGGACCTGTCACTTGACATCTACCCCGTGAGTTACATAATTTCAAACCAGCTCCGTCGACTTCAATTCAAATGTTAGAGTAGTGTGCAATCCTGAACTGTGATATCAGACTAGTATGAAGACTCACACATATTGTATGATTTATATGATTGATGTTTGCACGGAAAAAAAACTTCTATACTACAAGTTGTAAGAAAATTAAGTAATCTTATTTTTCTTATTCATCATTGATAAGTACGTGCGATCAATATATAAGTATTGACTCTATTCAGTATTGTTTAAAACTCACAGAAACAGTTCGTCTGCATCTTTAAAGATTGATAAAACTAATTATCATCCCAGCTCAACTGACCACCCAGTCTACATTTTATATTCAAGCGAAACTACTCAATCATCTAGAAATGAAAACAAATCATTCAAGGAGGCTGATCCAGAGAAGAGTTCAATTGATATTCCCTCGGATAACTTAAGACAGCCTACATTATCCTCCGTAAATCCGTCATCAGTCAGTTGCCTACGAAATAATTCTCCGAACGAATCAATTCCTTATGAGGATGAACCAGCTTCAGAAACCTTGAGACCACCTTCTCACGCTGTAGTATCTTCTGACCGATGGACTGGCAAGCCTAGTGCTATATTGAAGGAGCTTGTGGGACAAACTGATCTCCCAGCTGTTCATATTGATCCTCAGTGTGGTCGGTAAGTAGGAGTGTTAGTAGTACAATTTGTACATCACACATAAGGGATCTTTATATATATATATATATATAGGCAATGCACATTATTATTTCGTTCAAGTAGTCCATGTTGTAGTCTTCAGATTTTGGATTGAAATTATTTATTTGGTAAATGCACTTGTGTACGATGACGCGACCTTTATCACCAAATTTCTTATCACATTTTCCATTTATCTCTGTATGTACGGTCATAAATATTAATCTGCGCGAACCTCTTATTTATCGACACCTGATTAACCAAAAATATCTTTCGGCTTAAGGAAGTTTACTTGCTTTCTGAAACCACTGTCTAAGAAGTCATCTGCTTTTTAGTAATTAAGGCTGTTAAATACTCAAAGTGAAACTGAATCATATTCACGAACTGCTTACTAAATTTTTACCAATTATCACTACTGATCAACAATAAATAGATCATAGGTTTTCCTTTTGTTGCGTAACATGCACCCATTCCATGTAAGATTGATAATCAATCTGCAACTGTTCAGTTATAAATACTTTAGACAACGTGCTATGGTCGGAAATCTATTTACTGACCCACCGACTTTAATCAACAAAGCCGTTGGCTTATTGATTAGAGACTACTGAGTTACAGGTCCGAGTTAATTAGGCTTGTCTATTTCATTTTGGACAGTTCGGTAATACCACTAGTTCTCACAACAAACTTGTACTTAGTCAATTGGATCACAAAACATTCAGTTTCCTTCTGCTAACTGATTCACATAAGAGATGTGATGTTTAGTCATCTGTGTTGGTTAAATCTTGTTTTATCGTAATAAAAATGACTAGAACACTTTCTTAGCTTGACAGTAACGATTCTCAGTTTCGATAAGATGAAAATGAAAACGTACACAAGCACGTTGTTGTCTAGATATAATTACTGTGACAAATGATCTTCAACTTTAGTAGAAGCTCAAACTTTCACTGTGTTTGTGAATGTTTTTGTGGTCACATGATTATGCTTGCATTGGTATTGTCGCCTAAGGTTTTTATCAGTACTTATTTGGGACATCAGTTTAGGCACAACTTTCTGTCTTCATTTCATGTAAAACTACATCAGCAACTTATTTTGATAACTCACTAACATAATACAAGATTATTTAATGAATGAAGTCAGTAACATTTTAGACACTGATTGGTGTAAGTTAAGGCATCATGAGGAACATTAGATTCTTCAAAATGATATACAGTCTGATGATAAATACCAACCTAAGTCTGTAGTTTCGCTTAACATCGAAAATTATGGCTTTTATTGATAAATACATTTATCAATGTTTTGTTTTGCATTTGCTTTTCAAATTTTAAGGCCTGTCCATTATTGTTTCTTGTTGTTAAAATATGTCCCATCCGTGTATCTCGATAAATTTACTTCTTTTCCCTTATCATTATGTTTAATTTGTTAATTCGCTCTTGTTTTCATCTTACATGACTTCAAAAGTGTCTCAATCAATCCTTATCATCCGAATGACACAAATCGATTGAATATGGAGAATACTAACGACACCATGCCTCCATCAAAATCTGTTGTATATGATCGTATCCCTCAGTATACTAGTGATTATCTAAAGTATCACTCCTCTGGGGAATCTACTTCTTTACAGAATCCAGCATCATGTATGCCTAGTTCATCTTATCCGTATCAATCCTCAGGTATGCAGCATTCAGATGGTGATAAATTCAATCCAGTGTCCGCACAAAATAATCGAGTAAGTTATTCATTGTCTTAAATTGGGACATTCATTAGCTGACCGATTGTTTATTAAGATATCGAATCCTGTTAGACTGTTGAGTAGATTAGTCTCACCGATTTTGTCTCTATGACAAAGAATTTACACTCGATCTCAGAAGGGCATGACTATAGATTACATTAGGACTGACCACTGTGAAATAGATGACCAATCAAAACCGAGAAGTATTGAATAGTTGATTAGCCTCATCTGACAACTTACTCCCACACCACAAAACATAGCTCGTTGAGGCAGTCGGTGGTAGGAAATTACTAACACATGTCCCAACCACCTCAATTGATGAAGTTTCAATACTTCATCTAGCACCCGTTTCCTGCCAACAGCATTGCTTACTCTGTTGTCCCATGATACATGAGCAATGCTTCGGAGACACCTATGATCGAAAACAAGCAATCTACGAATTTCTTCTACTCTGACTGGCTATGTTTCACAGCCGTAAAGTAGGACGGATCGAACTGCTGAGCAGTACACTCGTGCTTTAGTCAGAAAACGGATATCTCGCCTACGACATAGGTGACTCATGTTGGCAAAAACCAATCGAGCTTTCTGTATCCGTTCTAAGATTTCGCCACACAACAGGCTATCAGCACTGATGAGACACCCTAGATAAGTGAAGTGGTCGCAAAGATCATCTACTTCACTTCCCATAACTAGTTCTAATGCCGATACCAGCCAATCCTGAAGCAACATTTTGCATTTCAACGTGAAGAATCGCATCCCAAACCTGCTTAAAGAAATCATAAGACTTCATTTTATCAGCATCTTCACCAAGTAAACCATGTCATCGGCATACTCTAAGTACAAAAGCGAATATCCTGGTAGAAAGTCCTCCCCTGAAAAGTCAGACGAGAATAAGTTAACTTTAAAAGCGTGTCTACAACAAACCTAAACAAGAATGGAAAGATTGAATAGCCCTGACGGATACCATTTGAAGTGAAGAATCCCAATGACATTTCGCCATAAACTCTCACTTGACCTGTGGTGTTCGTGTAGAGAGCTTGTATAAGGTTAATGCACTTATTTGGTACACCTTTTAATGACAGACACTACCACAGAACCTCACGATCAACAGAGTCCAATGCCGCCTTAAGGTCCAGGAAGACAACTATTGTCGGACGTCTAAACGTGTGTCTGTGTACCAAGACCTGGCCTAGTGTGAGAATGTGGTCTATGCAGCGACGTGCAGGTCCAGGCAGCGAAAATTGACTCCGCTCCTCATCGTACGCAGGTCCAGGCAAGATGAGCTTTCGAGCATCCATCAGTTTGGTAGATGCTACTGAAATCCACGGTTTCTCCCTAACCTTATGGTTTACCTTGCCAACAGATATCACTTCTGTTTCCACAACCTTATGGATATCATTCCAAGATGTCTCCAGATGGGAATCATTTAAATGGCTGCCTAACCTTTTCTAATTGTTCCTAAAACATATTCTTTGCTTTGTTATCATTAAGTAGAATCCTAAGAGGTTTCCTTGCGGTGTCTTTCCTACGTCCGGTAAGTCGCAAACAAATACGCGCTCGCACTAGAACATGAATTGAATCTAGACATGTGCCCCAGAACGAGCGACAGTCCTCTATCGAACCCCTCCATCGGTGACTGATGGCAATATGATCTAGTTGAGTCCAGCGTTGGGTCGGCTTTGGGGTTGCCACGTCAACAGATGCTTTTCCTTATGCCTAAAGTCAGTGTTTGCTAGAAATAGGCGGTTGTCTGAGCACAGTTGCAACAGACGGTCGCCATTATCACTTCTCTGAGCTGCGACACCATAAGACCCACACAGGTGTCTTTCCTTTACACTCAGTCTACCTACTTGAGCATTGAAGTCACCAGCCATTATTACTATATCGGAGGGCTTGAATTTTTGAAGATTGTTAGAGAGGTTTCTGTAAAACTCATCCTTCACGTCGTCTGAACTGCAGTCAGTGGAAGCATAGGCAGATACGACGAAGAGGCAACGACGAGTGTGCCTATCTTTCCGAGTCATCACTGTCCCGTTCAGTCGGACAAGCGCACAAGCGACTATCTACTGGGATCCAGTCTAGAAGAGAATAGTTCTGCCCTAAGACTCAATGCTATACCCACGCCAAGGAGACCACGAGAAGCACCATCAGGGCTTCCAGATACACGAAGAGTAAATCGAGCTGGATCTTTATTTTGACATGGTGAGGCAAAATGAATGATTCTACTGAAATCTTGTATGCGCGTCTCCGAGGCGCAGCATACATCGATGGCGCGAGATTCTAAATTCCTAGATAGGGAAACCTGTTGCTCTGTTTGACACAATGTCCGTACAATAAATGCTGCAACATGTAATTTAGAACGAGTTTTCGGGAGATCAGGAATAACGTTTCATGAGTCAGTCAGTCAGATGCAACGTAGAACGTCACGTCGTACGTATGTACATCAGTTCATGTTGCCATACCACATTAGCACAGAGACGCCACTGTCAATTATAATCGCACAGTGGTAGAGATAGTAAGAGTACTTGTGATAGATAATAGAGAGGATTAGGGTTCCAAAATATTATTCAAGAAGTATAATTCAGTGAGAAAAATTTAGAAAGACAAAGGTAGGGGTGTTGACGAATCCAGAAGATTAGGATTCTAGAGAACACAAATAATGAATGCACCTGCGCCATCGCAAACGATATTGAGCAATGTCATTTAAGGTCTCTAAACATCGGTTACTATCGTCTCGCGGACCCTAACTAGGTAGCCTACATCTACCAACATGAACTCGAATTGTTTGCTTTACCAAAGCAGGGTGGTAAAGGAATGTGAGATGCTTGAGTCATGGAGAAAAGAGAGATGTTGAGGAGTGTAGGAAGGATTTGATTGTGACCGATTTCGTCTCGTGTGTTGGTATGGGTTTGAGGGCGGATGTCACTTACCGTCTACACACACCGTGGGTTAGGGTTGGGTAGATTAGTGTTGGTCTTAACGAACTGGGAGCGTAACCGCGGAGCTAAAGGGAAAACTGCTTGATGCTGGTCACACATTACCTTTTTATGAGAAGTTTTTGAAGTGTTAGCCTCGCTCTTGTTTAGAAGGTCATATCGCCAGAGACGGAACTACGTGAGGTAAGGTGAGGTGTGGCATTTTTGAGGTCGACCTTTTCTAACGCCTTTCTTTCTTGAGAGAAGGCAGCATCGCTGCAGATGCTGGTTGTCCGAGGGAAACACCTTACTACTGTTACACTCCGTCAGCAGTACGACTTCGCTCTCAGACCTTGAGTTGCTGCTTTTAATCTCATCGCTCTCCAATCGACCTGCCTGGCATGGTAGAACCTTTAGGAACATAAGTTCCAGACAATATAGCTAGGTTGGGTCATCACGATATGCAAACCCGACCACCAGGACAAGGTAGCAGCTATGGTCGGGCTAAACAAATGTAGCACCATGTCAATAAGAAAGTAATTTGCTCAAATATCCGGGAACTGCTTGAAGTCCTACAACTAAAACAACTTATCAATAGAAACAGAATTTTGAAGCCTCCTTATGTTATTTACAATCAGAAATCAATCGCTGACTATTTAGCACTGTACTTAAACAGCCCGGTAGTCTCATTGATTTTCAAACGTGATAGTTATGTACTTGATAATGTCAGTCATACTAATAAATTACCGGAGAAATCTTTTGTCTAAACGCCGGTATTTATAGGGTGCAAAAATATATTCTCATAAGTTTCACAGCTTCCCCCTCCTTGTTACAGTTTAACGTGGAAACAAACTTTACTCCAACTTCTTCGAGACCTACAACAACTCCATCGTATGTTCCATCACCGCCCCCTATACCAACTGCAGAATATCCACAATATCACCCACCCGAACGATTAGAACCGGTTCACTGGTCAAAGTATGAGCACTGTTCATCTGCAGATGAATCACACCTATCACCCAAATCTACTAAAGCAATTGATATACGAGTAAGTGTGTACTTCTTTATTTATTTTTATGACCATCTATTAGTGAAATTCACTGAACGTACTTTGAATATTATTCATATAAACAACGGCAGTTTGTTTCTCCAAATAGCAGTTTAAATGAACTAGACTGTTTTCAATTATAGTGTAGTTGATAGGATTTTGTAGCAATCGATAAATTTGGTATTCATCACAAATTGTTCTCTATTGAGGTACTATGTCCTATGCAACGATTTAATCTGTTAACTCAATTATTAGGGATACACTATTGATTAACAAGCTTAACGGAAAACTCCATTCATAGTAAGATTCGAACCTGTTCGTTTACATGTTTTATGCTCAGTGCTTCATCAAATTCCTTAGTCGATTCTCTATACTTGGATTCAAAGAAGTGACCTATCTGATGAGTGGTTCAGCGTGAAAAGTTACTCAAAGTTTAGTGTTATAGCACGCTTGAGAATGCTTCTTATTAATTGAAATAAAATTAGCATAGATAACGTGTAAAATGTCGAAATCTCCTGAACAGAGAAAGATTTATTTTTTTCTGCCTCAGTGACACTGTAGCAGATTATATTCGAGATAATTCCTAATCTTTGTAAATTACTCATCCTGATAAGTGTTATTAAGTAACTTCCATTGGTATATACACTCCAGAAAGCAATACGAAGCATTGACTTCTGTTTATTGTCGCACTGCACAAATCACAAAGCCGCTAGCACACTAGGCAAATATGAATGAATATGAATGTCGGTGAACGAATGAACAGAATCTAAGGTTTGCACATATTTAGGGAGATAAATGAGTCATTGGATTATTTAAACGACTAACATTCAAGCTAGTTACAGCTGTGTGTGTAGTCTGTAATAATTAACCAAGCATACATGCTCATACAAACATGATACTAATAATAACACAAAGATATTGAAAAATTTTTACTGTTCGAACGACACTGCTAAATAAGTTGATCGAAGAACTTAACCAAATTAAGCGTAGAAGACTCAAGCATGGATAAGGTGCTATATCGTTGTTTAATAATAATAATAATAACTATTAAGTTTACAAGCGTTCTAATTTGAAGAAATATTTCATAAATATTTTAGCCTCCTACAATTAATTCATCATTGAAATCTTTGGATCAGAAAATTCCTAGATCAGATTCAAATAACAATAATCCACCTTTATTATGCAAATTCTCTAATAAACCAAGCGAACATCGTTCTTCATCTCCCACTAGTTCAGCTGCAAATCGTGTAATTACAATTCAATCCGAAATTGCTGAATTAGAAGCTAAACAACGTGCTGATAGTCGGTTAGATTTGAGTTCAACATTAGACAGGTTACGTGTGGAGTTACAATTTCAAAAACGTTTAGCAGAACGTGAATCGAATTGCAAGATTGCAGTCAATAATAACAGCATTAGTAATAAACATTTCATAATAAACGAAACCAAAATATTTAATATGCTTGAAAATTCAAACAAACCAGTAAGTATTAATTTATTTTGAAAGTAAGTATTTCTATAGTTCATGTTCGGTAGTTCTAGGTAATTGGTTAGTCATTCAGTTACAACGTAGCACTTCATACGTAAGTACAAGAGTTCAGGTTGCCATACCGCATTAGCACAGAGACACAACTGTCAGTTCATATCCCATAGTGGTAGAAAATAGAAGTATTAATAGTAATGGAGAAGATTAGGGTTTCTTTATGAATCTGCCTGTAGACCCTTCGAGGCTACTGCTGGTCCCAAGACCGGATAAAGGAGGAGGGTTGAGATTAGGGTTGGCCACCCCATCCCTCAAAAACCTAACTGGCTAATAAAATGCTTACAGGAAAACATAATCATCCATGGTTTAATTAAGAAGAAAGTCAGAAAGGTGCAAATTCAGCGCTGAGTCGTCATGAAGTTGATATAAAAATTATGATTTCTCTGATCTGTTAAACTAAACTTACGTTGAACATGGATCATTGTTAGACACGTCATTCTTGCTTATGAAGTCTAAATGTAAAAAAGAATGTAATGAATTGGTAGATTCACTTGGCTTATCTCTCAATTTTTTGCTCAATGAAATTGAATTATAAGTCGATAGGATATCACAGGGATCAGCATAATGGATGCTTCTTAGGCGATATTGACAAAATTTAATGTTTTATTCAGAACAATAAGCGAAACATTTTCGCTATATAAGTACTTTTCAATATATTCATAAATTATTATACAAACATTAATTCGTCGACTTCTCATACATAATCTATCTATTGGTTACATCGATTGTTCACTCCCTTATCATGTGATTAGCTGTAATCCAAATAACAATACATTTTATAGACCACTTGTTGCATAATTAACCGAAATTTGTGGGTGTGATTAGAACATCCACTTTGTTTGTTGTTTGTTTTATTCTATTCTCTGTAAAACAACACTGGAAAATAAGGTCGTCTATAAGTGCGTACGATAAAGGTAAGGGAATTTGTGGAGATTGAATTATTTCCATAGTGGAAGTTACGAACTGATATAAATTAGACCACCATTAGATCAGTTCATGCTTTTCAACCATAAAAATAATACAAGCTCCACAAGTCTCCTTCATTATTAACAATCATGTGCTCACTAGTGAATAGCTTCATGATGTATTCCTAGAGTTCTAGTGAGAAGTGGAGTTCAATCCGTGGCGGTTAGGAGACAGTGCTCTTCCACAGGCAAAGCACGAAGGTTGCGCAGCATCATGGATTGATTAAAGTTAGACAATAACATCATTGGATGTCAACTCATTTGTCTAGAGGTGTGTCCGGTTCCTGCGTACTGGGGTTGTGGATGCGGCACTGCTGAGGAACCCCATGCTAGAACGAATTGGCCACCCAGTGCTTGTAAGTTTCTAATGGCGGTCCAACTTATATCAATTCGTGATTCCAACTCCTCGATTCACGTTCGTTCAATTGTTTATTCTGTCTGACTTTCTGTTTGTCTATCTCTTAAAGTTACAATTGTCTGATTTTGAAAACACTTGTCAGTTTACGAAACATCTCATTCATTTCTCTTCGGTTAAGGAATCACTACAGTCCGGTTTATCATTGTCCATGCTGAATACTGATCATTGTAATCAACAAGACTGGGTCCAAAAACGTAATCAAGCTGAACAAGAATTATTTGAGACGTAAGTTCTTCAGTGAAATTTTCTTATTCTTCAGCTCTGACCTATCTCTTTAAATCTAACTATCAACCTTATTTTAACTATTTGTATATTTATACTGATAGCAAATTCTGGGCAGTAGGGTAAGTTTTCGGTGGTTTACCATCTGATATATACGATTTTTTGGACAGCGTGGTAAAAATTTCCGTGTTTAAGTGAGATAGTTTGATTTGTTTTATACCACGAAAAACCACATGCAGGAAACTGACTAACCACCATAACTTTTTATAGTTTACATTACTAATAGAGCGTAGTTAAAATAACCCTATAAACTAGATCTAGTAAGGGACTTTCCAGTCATGTGTATTCTTTGTCCCAACAATGATCAAATCTAGAACTGTTCAGGTCCTGTTAAGATCGGTTTATATTTAGATCACTGATTTGACAGCTAACAGTTTACGTTTCTATGTATTTGTCCGAAATATATCTTAGATATCAAGTTTTATGATAATTGAATGCCATATTTGTATCATACATACAAAACATTTCAATTCAATACACATACTTCGGTTTATGAATATCTAGTATATAATATGATGATCCCAAAACAGATGACAGGCATATTGGATGTAATTAAATTAGTCGAGTTTAATGAATAACGATTTATAAATGATGATACATAGTAGGTGGTTCAGTGATGTTTGTACATTAGAATATAGCAAACAATTTAAAGTGAAAGTTAACATTTCAATAACAAAATACTTATGTTTAATAAAAATTTATGATTATTCTAGTCAAAATCAACGAATATCTCAATTAGAACAAGAACATAAAGCCATGTTGATAAGACAAGAACTACGAGCTAAAGAACGTACTCAATGGTTTGAGCACAAACATCAACAGCAAGTATGTTTTATTATTATTATTATTATTATTTATTAAGAAAAAAATTTATTAGAATTCTTTAATTTGTTGTTGATTATAAAGCTGATTGGTCGTTACTAATATTTGTGTTTTTATACTGGTATATTTATCGTAATAAACTTGATGTTACTTTCTGTTCAAAATTTTCTTTCAATACTCAGTATGTAGTGTCGACGCTTCGGTCAGATGATGATGATTGCCTTATAAAAAAGAGGCATTAACCAGTAGTTTTTCGAATTTCCTTTAAGTATTAGTAGTAATATCAGCTGACTAGTTCGAAATAAACAAAAATGCACTCTTATTGTCAAATCTAATCACAATGAACATTCAATGAATATTTAGTCAATAAAATAGTACTCAACCTTTTAACTCTTAAATGTGAGTGCCTTATTTCAACAACAAAGTGGTATTAGTAAATGACTTTTTGCACATGATCCAATTACTTGATGTGTTACTCTAATAATACCATTGATGTAGTTAAATATATTATTATACGGCAAAGCCGTTCAAGATTAACTAGAATGATGGTGTTTTTTTAAAAAAATTCATTGCTTGGTAGTAGTTAAAATTCAGCTTATGATACTTTCTTTTAGAGCCGCGTTAAAATTTAAAGCTATCAATTCATATTCTCTTAACAGTGAAAATGATGTGGTGTGCAAAGAGAAAAACTATTAGAAACATTTTATTATGAAGTGGATCCTGTTGTGATGTTTTACATTCCTTAAACAAATGGTGTCGTTATTGACTTAGTTGGTAAAAATGATACCGTAGTATTCTACAAATAACATGATTTTACTAAATGAATTTTTTTACTTCAATTGGTTAGTTTTTTTTCTGAATGTTCTTCATTAATGTAATATGCGATATACTCTATGGTGTGAATACACCTAGTTGATAACTATGCACTGGTTACATATTTTTATTTTCATAGTATAAAAAACCAACAGGGATTATTGCGTCATAATCTCTAAACTAGCCCACATAGGGTTATTCTGTATAAGTGAGTGACGCGATTAGCTAACAGATTTTGGTTGTCTTAGATAATAGATATTTGAAATTCGGGAATTCAATTTTGTGCCAACCCCATCCCGTAAACAAAGGACCTTCCTGAAAAAACGATAACCATCCAATCAAGTCGGATCTATTTATTTGAACATAAACGCTGTTGCAAACCACTAATAAGCATATATGCAAATTTTATGATGGTGTTTCGTTCTCTGGGCTGGATGTTTTGGTTGTGGAGCTTTCATTGTTCTTCTGAACAACATCATCAGTATAAACTTCAGATAGAAGTGAAGCATTCGAATTTCTCCACGTTTGACCTGTAGCTTGTTCTGCAAACCTCGATCTTGATTGGTTACTGTTGACCTTAAACCTGTCGTTGTCTGCACCTTCGTTTTGATTGTATCCCCCTTTTGATCTGTTTCTTGATCCTATGTCACCCATAGTTTTTCTGATTGGTTGATAAATTGTGTCAATGTCGATGTGTTTGTTGATTGCTGATTGACCTGAGTGCCAAGCTTCTAAAAATTCCCTAATGTTCTTTGTCTTGCCCCTATCCAGTATTTCCACATTGTTTCCAATCGAATGTATGTTCATAATTGTCGGTGTGTATTGATATAAGCGAAGCGTTGTCGTAGGGTTTGACTGCTAATTGGTGTTCACCTAAACGAAGCTGAAGAGGCTATCCACCTTGTCCCATGTAGCGTTTTTTACAGTCTGAGCAATTTATTTTGTAGATGATATTTGGTTTTTCTTCTTTTTTGTCATTTTGTCCTTTGATCTACATACGATTGATTGAAGTGATTCTGTTAGTTAGTGTGCTTCGTATTGTGAAGTTCATATTTTTGTCACTAATAAAGTGAAAGTTATATGGTTTAGGACTTCTATGACAGTTAAAAAGACAGGTTTTCAAACACTTGACCTAGAGTTGTGATATTGAGCTTTTTTTAAAAAATTCTTCATCGCTTTTAATTTAACACATTAATATAGTTTAGTTGAAAATATTTTGAACTATAGTTTGGAATTCGAAATCAAAGAATCACAATAGAGTTGTACATCTTTGAAACAGTGGTGTTCAGGAAACAGCCTCCACCTCTTCGATTGCTAGTTCTAACTCCTTTTCATCTACTTCAATTCTTGCGGTGACAAAATCCTACCAGCTCTCTCACACTTAAGAGTACAATACGCAGTAGCAAATCAAATTTGCCTGTTGTTAACTTGATTACTGAGTCTTTTAACGTTAATATGAAATACTTATCTTTATTTACAGGCCGAAGATATACACCGCACGCATAATTTTTTGTCAGTTATAGGATTCTATTTCGTTAATTAATTTATACATGCTCCCACGAAACACACCTTTATCCTGAAACTATCATTTATTTTCTATGAACGTAGTTTTTATTTTATTATCAAAAGCAGCACTGACCCGCTAGCCAGTCATGTCAAACGTACATTGAAATCCTCAGTCATACAAATTCCGTAACTTATGATGCAATATGATGATTTAAATATGATTTTGTTTTCCAGGTACTATTTCCTTTCAGTTCATCATCATTACCGAGAAATGAAGAAACAAATAACGATAATATGAAATCACGGAATTATCAAAATTCAAATCATGTACCTCTTAGACAAAGCTCTGATGACGGTAAGCTTTTAAGTTTTATGAGCTATTTTACTTTACGTATATGTAAAGCAAAAGTTCAGTTCATGAATGCATCAGCGTGTTATGCAGATAACAGGATACGTATTCTTAATGATTGACTGTTATGCAATTGTTCAATTATTGGGAGATTCATGTTTCGACTAATATGTCATAGGCATGAATCTCTCCTCTGCTCCTACCTTCCATATGAATAGCCTTGAAAGCGTTTACAACTAATCGATCACTAGGTAGCAGCCAATGTCATATATGTCATGTAATTCTTTGTCAGTCAATCAGTCAGTCAGTTACAACGTAGCACTTCGTACATAGGTTCAAAAGTTCAGGTTGCTATACCGCAATAGCAAAGAGACACACCTGTCAGTTCATATCCCATAGAAGTAGAGAAAGTAGAAGTATTAGCAGGAATATAGAAGATTAGGGTTCGAAGATGTTATTCAAGAAGTATTATTCAATGAGGTAAATTTAAAAAGAGAAAGTTAGAGGTGATGAGCAATTCAGATGATTGTGATGTTGTCTGCCCCGTTATCCAGTGTTTCTTGAGTTTCAGTTTTATTTTAGCGACCAGCAAGTGATGATCTGAGGCTATGTCAGCTCCTCCCTTGGTTCTCACATCCTCCATGGTCCTTCTGAACTTTTTGTTGATGCAGATATGGTCGATTTGGTTCTGAGTAGTGTGATCCTGTGAAATCCATGTGTATTTGTGTATGTGTTTGTGTGGGAATATTGTGCCACCGATGACCAGTTTGTTGAAGGCACATAGGTTTGCAAATCTCATACCGTTTTCGTTCCTTTCTCCCAGTCCATGTCGTCCCATGATGTCTTCATATTCAGTGTTCTCCATGCCAACCTTGGAATTTAGGTCTCCCATTGGAATCATCAAGTCCTTTGATGAGCATCTGTCGATGTTTGACTTCAGCCTTTCGTAGAATTGATCTTTAACGTCGTCATTGTAGTCATTGGTAGGTGCATAACGTTGGATGACGTTCATTGTAATGTCCTCTTTATTTGTTTTGAAGGATGCTTAATTGATCCTGGGTCCATGAGATTCCCATCTTATCAGTGCCTTTTGTGCATATTTGGACAGCATCAGTGCAACTCCTTCTGTATGTGAAGCATTTTCCTCTTCATGACCAGAGTATAACAGCAGTTCCCCTGAAGCTAGTCTCATTTGTTCTACCTGTGTTTAATTCGTTTCTCTGATACCAAGCACCTTGAGGTTGTATCTTTTCATTTCTGCAGCAACTTGAAATAGTCTTCCAGTCTCCCACAATGTTCGAACGTTCCATTTATCTAAAAGAATGGTTGCTGTGGTTGTCAGAAGAGGCATCGGCCTCGTGATTTGCGATGGAACTCGTCTTTCATCACGAGACGTCATAATTCTTATTCCAACTCCCAGGGCAGAGTTAAAATGGTTTGTTTTATTTCCTCTGGTTAACGTTTTTTGGCAAATTATTTTTTTTGGTGGGACGGGGTCGCCAACCCCATGCCCAACCTTCCTCCTTTATCCGGGCTTAGGACCGGCATTAGCACCGAAGGTTCTACAGGCGGAGTTAGTGTAACAGGAAGCGCATAAGTTATTTTCTCTTTACAACTTCTGTTTCCCAAAGGTTTAGTTAGACATTGAGAGCTTTTATCGACAGAATTCTGTTACCACAAGGGATTGAACGCAATAGCGAGGTCAGTCAGTCAGTCAGTTACAACTTAGAACTTCGTACATAGTACATAAGTTCAGGTTGCCATATCGCATTAGCACAGAGACGCAATACCGAGGAAGCATCAATGATCACAATATTCCAACCAACTCGATACTTAGCTATAAGGCTTATCTGACATCATAAAATCAACGTCAAGTCATTTGTTGATATTTTCTGATATTCACCAAACATCAAGGAAAATCCAGTAAACATGTTAACCAAATATTTTTCTTTGGAAACTTCCAAGAAAAATCTCGCATCATACTCATACTGTTCATTTGTCTTTTCACTATGTATCCATTTACAGAATTAAATAATTTACGCATTGTTCATCGGTCCTATCAGGATTACAGAAAGGTCGTGCTGACTAGTGCTAGTATGAAACGTAGATCAAGTAGAGTTTCATGTTGACTGCCTCCAGACGCCACCCAATATGTTAATAAAACCTCTTGCAATGTTGAGTCATTCAGATTGGTGATCACATTGTAACCTGATTGACAGCGTTCGATCCACACTGAAGAATTGAATAAACATGATATTTTGCGCCAGTCAGAATTTAACCAATCATAAGAATACTACCTTTTAACTCGTATAAAATGTAACTGTTAATACACTAAAGCAAATTCCTTTAAAAATCATTAACAATTATTCTTCGTTATTTTTTCAATGTAATTAATATATTTTAATTTAACAGATATTTCTCAAACACCAACTAGTCAAAATCGTTATGGCCGACCAAGATTCGATAACAGTGATAAGCCAGAAACAACTAAACTTATTTCTTATTCTTTACAATATCCCATTCAATCACGTTTAGGTCCACAAATTATTGAAAGTGACTTAAATCGTATACAAGTAGTGTCTGGTACCACTGGTTCATCTGTTGAAAGTACACGAGTAAAAAAATCAGTATCATTTGATAAGAATTTAGAAACTATCTCTGTTTACAGTCCACCCTCAACACCACAAGATAGTTTCATAGAATATGGAACTATTCATAAATCTCAAGTTTCTAATAGAGCACTAACATCAGGGTCAACAATTTCATTGAATCCTTCATCTGTTAGTTTATCATCTGCGAAACCGTTTAGTCCTCCGGTTGGATTTGAAACTGAGGATAAAACAGATGGTAAGTTTAGTCAAAATATAACCTCAATTTGTAAAAATATTTTTTGCTCTGTAACCTTAATGAACGATATCAGCGCCTACTTCAATCTGAAGTGAGCTGTGTTAAATAATTTATTGCACAAGTGACAAATTAGTCCGTTTTTTTGAAAATGATAATGTTGACTGACTACTTACTTATATGCGCCTATTACCTCCAATGGAGTGTAGGCCACCGACCAGCTTTTTCCAACCTTCTCTGTCATGGGCTTCCCTTTCCAGTTCTGTTCAATTGCTATCCTATCCACTTCCACCGCCTCTTCCAGATTTCCTCGTTTCCTGGTTTGTTCTCTCCCACAGTACGTTGTTGCTGATAGTGTCTGGCCAACGAATCCGAAGTATTTTGCATAGACAGCTGTTGATTAACACTTTTATCTTATGAATGATGGCTTTGGTAGTTCTCCAAGTTTCCGCTCCATGCAGTAGAACTGTCTTGACATTTGTATTGAAAATCCTGATTTTGGTTTTGGTTAAAAGTTGTTTGGAGTTCCAGATATTTTTCAACAGTATAAATGCAGCCCTTGATTTGCGATCCACGCCCTCACATCTGCATCGGATCCATCTTGGTTGTCGATGATGCTGCCCAGATATGTGAACATGTTAATGTCCTCCAATGCATCTCCATCAAGATTGATTTGGTTGGTGCATGTTGTGTTGCATCGGAGAATTTCGCTTTTGCTTTTATGTATGTTGAGACCTGCTGCTGCAGAGGCTGCTGCTACGCTGGTTCTCTTCTCTTGCATTTGTTGTTGCGTGTGCGATAGAAGAGCAATGTCATCTACGAAGTCCAGATCGTCCATCTGCATCCTAGCTGTCCATTGGATACCGTGCTTCCCTCCAGATGTTGACGTCTTCATAATGTAGTCGATCACCAGGAGAGAGAGAAGGGGTGAGAGTAAGCAACCTTGTATGACACCGGTCTTCACCGCGAGAGAGTCTGATGGTACTTGTTCCTCGTCCCAAATCTTGTTGAAGAGAATGTGAAGTATTTTTGCAGTTGCTTCCACGTCTGCTCTGCTGGAATGTTGTCTGGTCCTTCTGCTTCGCCGCTCTTAATTTGTCTGATGGTCATACTGATCTCTTCAATTGTAGAGGTCGTAGATGCTACTTCGATGTTGGATGGATTCAGTGGAGCTTGTCGATTCGAGAGTTCCTTGAAGTGCTCTACCCACCTTTTTCTCTGTTCTTCAGTGTTGCTGATTACTTTGCCTTCCTTGCTTTTTACTGGTCGTTCTGGTTTACGATGGTTTCCGGCGATCTTCTTTGTTGTTTCGTACAAATATCTCAAGCTTCCTCTCGAGCCCCTCTGCGGCTCCTGCTGGTCCCAAACCTGGGGGTTCGGGTTTTACAACCTCATACCGTAGAAAACTAACTCGGTTTAAAAAGCTAGCCAGAAACAATAATCCAAATCTGTTGACTGATAATGTTGACCGCATATTACTGCATTCCTTCTGATTCTCTTGTTCGCTTGACCTCTGACAAAGTGATTGGCTGTGTTTGAGATAAATAAGATACGACTTGATGTTGACAAAAAGAATGGTAATTAGTAACAGAAAAGAAGACAGCTCTACTTCTCTTGAAAGAGTTACAAAATAACAAACAAAAATAAAATTAACCTGTCGAGGTTTAAGGTCCTTCCAATTGGAAAGCACGAATTGAAATTATTATGGGGGGCTTTTGGCGCGGAAATAAACTATTCAAATTTACAAAAATAAATTTACCAAGCTATGTCTCAAGGATCAAGCCTCCCGAAGGGTGATGATTGGTCTTTCTCGCTTAAAGTAATAACTGCGTCTCCATATTTGTAAAAGATCGTCGAATATGCTTAGAAACTTTCATGTCGGGAATTTCTATTATTCATTTATTCATTTGAAGAAATTTATAGATATTAATATGGGTAACTTTGTCATGTCATTTCGCCGTTAGTCAACGTTTACACAATGCTTACTTATACTGATTTTATCCTTTACTATCAAGTAATAATTAATATATTTAACAAGTCTCATCAAATAAGTAGTAAATTCTATAGCTATAATATATATATATAGTCTTCCTAATGTTTTTAATTTAGATAAAACTCATCAACCTAATAAAACAAATCCAGGTCACGGCGAACCAAGATCGTCTCAGGGAAAACTTATCACAAACAATATGCCACCTACAGTAAGTTAGTGATTCGAGTTGTGTTAGTTTTTCACTTTATCCTTTTTTTAAGGTCGTCACTTGCTATGCTTGAAACTATTACGGGTGGGAAATGTGATCTCAAGGTCAACTGATCAACTCATGAATGAAACCCAAATTAAAGACATTTTTCAAGCGAGTTCTGGGAATTTAACATCCCCAACACTCCTCTCCCTTTTAATAGCGAGCGCTCCTGGGGTAGACTTGCATCTTGACTGTTGTCCGCCGCTGTCTGATAGGATACTTTCTGGAACGGAGATCAGCTTGTTGCTTAGTTTCTTCTTGGGGTGGGACTGCCAGTAGGTTGAAGGTATCAAGCCAGGATACCAAGGGGAAGATTTTCTGCTCTTGATGGGCGTGCGATCTGGGGCTAGTCGTTTGCGTATCTTATTTCGATGGCGTGACTATTTACCACGTCCTACCTCTTCTTCGTACATAACACGTCCAACTTTTCTGACCACTCGCACTTCTGCCCAAGGACCATTGTTTTGGTCTTTAGTTACGGGCAAACACAGGACATCCCACTTCATAGGATGATTGCCTTTCCGACTTTGTCTGTACCAGTGTTGATGCATTACTCGAATGAATCAGGCTGTGGATCGTTTTCAGTCTTCTTCCCATCAGGATTTCTGCTGGGGACTTTTACTCGGGTAACAACTCATTTGGTGTTGCTCGATAGACGTACAAAAAATTTCGTAACACGTCAGTTGGTGTCCCCTCCCGTTTCGACTTAACCAGTGATCTTGTAAGCATATCTACAAACCTTTCCACTTGCCCATTCGATGGCGGGTGGTATGGTGACGAGCGTAAGTGTTTGATGACTAGCCGTTGACAGATATTTTTGAAATCGGGTAGAGGTAAACTGAGACCCGTTGTCAGAGACGATTACATCTGGTATGCCAGTGAGGAGCTGTATTGTCTCAGTTGTCGTGAGCGGCACTACGGGGTTCATTTTGGGCCATTTTGAGATGGCGTCGACCACAACTAAACATAGTTCCATTGATCGGACCAGCAAAGTCCGATGTGTATCCTGGACCAAGGGTGATCACCAAACATCAAACGGTCGTTTACGATGCATAGTGACTCACCGCTGATATAGCTGCTTCATGTCACCATCAAACTTCTTCGACGGCCAACCGTTAGTGACATATTTCATCGTCATCTTGATGATGGGGTCGTTTCTAGAAACATTTTGTATGTCTGTTGCAGACACCGGTAATGTGCGAATTGCGGTTGTCAGATAACATTCCGCGTGGTCTTCCACTGACAGAGATGTGATCACCATGTTTTCCTCAACCGCCACTTAATCATTAATGAGTCGTGACAAAGCCTCTGCCTGACCGAATTAATGATAATGTAAATATATTTTATGCTCTGTTAATTGCTTTTTCGGAAGGGTGTCTGACCTTATTGTATAATCCGTACATTATTGATATTTTATTGAGTTGGTATTCGTTTTACTATTCAGTGTTTAGCTTCAACTTACTCTCGATTAAATTTAGGTTTATTGCTCTGACTATTTGTTTTTATTTAAGTATCCTACTTTTTAAACATCTTAATTCTGGTTTCATGATTCCGGGAACTTCCTTTCGGTGAATCACAAAATCGAAAGATTAAGTTCTGTGTGACATTGATTCTTTAGACAACAACAAAGGAACACGAAATATAGAGTTCTCTTCGTGCAAAGAACTTCAACGTACTGTTCAGGCAAAGCGTGGCAATATACTGATATCAGTCGTTTTTCAAACAATCATTCATTGTAAAGATCCGACAGTATTAGGGAATTATAAACGGATAAACAACCGGCAAGATATTGCCTCTGAAATGATCTTCAATCGTCATCGTCAACCAAAATCTAAGTTTTCGATTAGACGACAATAAGATAACAATAAAACCGTTAAGGATATTATTCTAAGGTTCACAATGTTGAGATTTATATTCAGCCTGACAGGAAAACATCCCATATCAGTGCAGTGAGATGAAATTATCAATATCAATGAGGCAGTAACAAGAAATAGTGACAATAATAGAGGTAATATAAAGTACCAAGCATAGGCAATATTATCCGAGGAGAAAGAACAAATTTATGGGCTAAAAGTTCAAGGAAAATTATGGTTACGATAATTTTGTGAACAGTACCAAGATAGTTTGGACTTAACTAAATGATTACTAATTCCATTGGCTTTTGATCGTTCTGACCAAATTCAGTTGTTCAACTTGTATCTAGTCGAAGATAATGTGAGTAATGGTTTCTCTCTGTTTTACTCTCTTTCATATTTTAGATAACAGTGAAACCCCCTCCTAATGCAGAATTATTACCATTCAAAGAGAAAATGCGTTTATTTGCTCAACAAATCGGTGAAGATCCACCGAAAGAGCGTATCAAATCATCTAGTCGTCAAAGAGAATTACAATTGGCTAATAATGTCCACTAATCTAACAATAATTGTTCGTTTATTTTCGTAAGATTGATTCCAATTCACGTAGATTTTTTCGTGGCATTAGTTAATTACAGAACTTTTAATTTCCAGTCCTGTTTTTCCCCCTCCCACCGTCCTAATTCCTTCAAACACATATCAGTTAATGTAGTTCACAATATTCGACTTTCGATTAATTGTTAACGATAAATTTAAATGATTAATTATCTTAACCTAATTCAAAATAATTGATCATCTATGACTATTTTATTAATTGCTGTTATGGTTATTATTGATACTAGTATAACTGTTGCTTGTAGTTACAATTGTATGCATTTTTTTGTTGACTATCACATCAATTTTTTTTTATCATTGTTATTTGTGTTGCGTTGTCACACATTTATCAAATTATTTGTATTGCCGGCATTTTTAAAAATAATTTATCCCTTTTTAAAAGATCTTATTCCCTGTTCCCTTTTTGACATTGTCCTACACAATTTTCTTATATCTTATTCTTCATTACACATACAATCTCTCAATTTCAATTTAAAAAGGAACTCATGTTGATTTTAAAAATTTTTACTGAAGATTACGGTATGACCTCATAGGCCTTGAAATCGGTGGTTAAACTTTTAATACATTTCTTCTTTTTTTAAAAAATAAACATTTATTTATGAATATTAAAATTATTATTATTTTTTTGGACTATGTACAACTTTCTTTATTGTTATTGATGGCCAAAATATCCATTTCGATTGTTACATGCAGCAGTTATTGAACATTTTTGTATGACTTTTTTCAAGAGCTTTTTGATTATAGTTTTTGATGAATTGAATGGACAGATGAACAGGAGATTGATGAAAATTAAATAAAGCCATTCATACAAATGCACATTTTTAAATCTTTTCTCGTCTTTTTTTTCTAATATTGACGGTAATAATCCAAATAAGTGAGAGTGATTACTTTCGGTATTTATCAAATTGAGAATCAATTATCTTGTGAAATCAGAGTGAATACCATTTTATAGTACAATAATAAGACAGAAGAGACCACAAATATTTATCAAACTAGTAGGAAGCACAAAGAGATACATAAATGTCATTTTACTGGAAAAAGAAATTTTAAATTGAATGTTTGTGATTTTACAGTTGTTGTTTATTTTGAGACTTGTTTGGTGAGCCGATACACATTCATTGCATCAATCGTGTTCTTTCTCTACGTCATGGACGTTACAATGTTTCCCGCTTCAAATTATAGGACCGGCTGTAAAATTTGGGCAGTAGGTACATAGAATCAGTGCACATATTAAAATGATACACCAGATATGCGAGAGCCGACAACTCCAAATAGATAAGTGACCATAGCAACATAACGATAGTCTTTCGACTGTTACAATATTCGATATTCACTACTCAATCAACATTCTCACATACTTCCATCCCGAGATTTAAAATGCAATGTTCCTTCCAGTTCTAAAATTATCAATTATTACGATATACTGTAATGAAAATTTTCGTTTGACGTGACATCTTTACTTATTAAAATGCTGTTTTAAAAAGCCATAAACGAAATTTTCGAATAATTCATCCTTTCAGTGGTACTTGTGTAGAAGAACTCAAACGACTACTTATTATGTATACAAAAGATGTCGAGTTTCAACCTCATGACATAAAAATACCTTCATATCAGTGGTGTAACAATATGAAGTCCAGTTCGTCCCGTCCTAGCAGATGTACTCAGCGATAACCTTCGAAAAAACCAAGCCTAAAGGGGCAAAAGATGGGATAGCTGATTATTCAAGGTATGTCGACGGTACTCTAATTATGTTTAGTAAACAAAGACAAGTAAATTTCCTACTAAAACCTCAAGATCTTCGCTCACTAATATTTTCAATGAAAGGATTATCTGAAACCGTTGACTTCACTCAACCGTGGTTGCAGATGGTCTGATCACTCACGCTCCAGTCAGTGTACCTGTTCGACATTTTGGTTCACACTACGCCTTGCATGCATATGATCTGCACTCAGCTTATCATGGTTGTTCCCGATTTCTCGGCTCAGATTGGTTTCGTCTATTTTTCTGACACCTTTCAGTGATTCTTCGATAACACGAAATCGACAGCAAATACACCGATTTCATCTGGTCTATCCGGTGTTCGAGTTATTATTGATTTCTTGATTCATTATAACCAAACTTACAAACGTATTTAAATTATTCATTCATTTAAAAAAATTTCTCGCTCTACTCAGAGAAGTGAACATGAAGGTTACAAATAGTAATAACGATTAGAAACTGATTCAAAAAACCGCACAAGTAATTTTTTCTATTCTACTAAGCTGTATGTACATATAATTTTGAATTTTTGCTGACTATTTATTACAGAAAACTACTTATTGTCATGATAAAGAAGTCTGGTTTGAGCTAATAAGGTATGAATTATGCTGAAACATTTTCCGCTTATGAAAGTCAAATAACTAACTAACTTTATGATGGAGGGATGCAAAGTCACAGATTAAGACCAATTGTAACGAGATTAACTAGCGAAGTACCTTAATCATCATTTGGAAATTGTCAGTAGTAGTGTATACTTGTGACTTCATTGCGTTGTTTGTCCAGGATAAAGGTTTCATGATACATGGCACGTTCAAGCAGGTGATCTTAAGATCACTAGCTAGTTCGAAGTCGCATCGTTAGGTTTCTCATTTAGAGTTATCCAAACTGACCGATATTGTGCCAGCACTACGAAGGACCCCAAATGAATCGGTGTTTATTTCTAATTCACCTTTCACGATTAGACATAATTTTGTTTCTTGTATGGGCCCTGGCTGAAATTTTCGATCGTTGAGAGTAAGCTTTACTAATTATTGCGAATTTCGATTCTCGCATACTGATTGCAATTTGAGCAAGATATGAAATCAAAATGTACTGGACAGTTGCTATACTCTAAAATGTGACTGAAATAATTACAAAAGATTGAGCGCAAGACCGTTTAAATCTGAAAACACACAATAACTGAAAACACTGAGACAATGTTCAATTGTTAATTTTAAATTCTAATTTCTTATTCAAGCTCACAAACATTGAGCTGGTATTCCGAAATTTGAAAAACTAACTTAAGTAAATAGGCTAGAAATAATTTGAACACATCCAACTTATAAACAATATCTGATATTTGTACGTCGATATACACTTTGATGAGAATAAAATTGCGTATATTGTACTCACATTTAATGTATTTACAAATGATTTCTTCGCTTAGTATCAAACAAGCAAGCTTCAACGTTCATTCACAGAGGTAAAGTTTTGTGCTCAGTAATCAAAACATAAGTTAGTTAATATGATAATGAATACTTAATCGAATGGTAATTAGTTTCTTTCATTACAACTTTGTTCTTGTTTTTTGGATTGATTGTTTTTAGAAACACAAGGCAACTGGAATGAATACAATATCAATTTGTTTAGTATTAACTTCAACATATGCACATTTTCTGCATCTTTTTGTTTTTCATGAAATTGAATAACTTGCTTTATATAAGTAAACATCTAAAAACTGAATAAGAGCGAACTGCATAAACATAAATATTGTTTTCTATCATATTTTAGACTTTACTTTGATATTTATTTTTGTATGAAGCATCATCATCAGCCTCCTTTAGAGGAGGAGAAAGCGTATTGGGAAGGTAAACTTTTTTTAATCATCCTGATCTAACAACTGTCTGCCCTCTACGATGTTCTTCAATCTTGAGTTCACAATTCCATAAGCACTCTTATTGTATATGAATCTACAACCAGTCAACCACTAACTCCATGACCCCATAGTAGCTGATATGAAACTGACAGTCGTGGTCAGACCACTTACTATAAATATTAAGGAAAAAGTGATTGGCCTGAGTCTAAATAAATTGTTTGTCGAAGATATCGAGCATACTACAGGGCAGCATAGTTTACAGCATAGTTTATGAAGTGTCAAAAAAACAATTCGCAGTTTTATCTTGACAAATCTGGTTGATGATACTGGCCATGGAAATACGTACATTATTAACACTTTTGTTCAGAAGAAATTTATTGCAGTTTTATCTTTTCCATGGGTGGATATAATTTCAATGAGGCAGACGTAGAAGCTGATTAGCAGAATATAGCAGCTGGTAACTTGGACCCAATAGCGGCCCAGACACCATCGAATGGTGGATATTGGAATGAATACGCATATTGAATTCCCAGACTATATGCTTCGTACATGAAGTTCCTATCATCTTCACAGTTGTTTTATGTGAAACGCAAGATAATAAGGTAAACTGTTTAATAACGAATAATCATTTGGAAATAGAAACAATTCAAATGCAGAAATCAAAAAGGCAGCAGTACTGAAGAAAAGGTTTTCTTTAATTACACACTGGTTAGTATCTACTTCAAGAGCAGTGTTAGTTTTGTATAGATTGATACTAAGTATTTTGAATAAATATTTATTCTTCAAATTATACTCTAAAAGGGTCACATTTTCGCGTAGGTTGACGTTGGTGGACAAACTTCTGTATACAAGTTTGAAGCTCTTCAGCGGTGAGAAGGGATTATACGTGAGGCTAATTATTCTCGATTCTGTCAATTTCCGACAAAATGAACATTGATTTTACATTACAAAAGGAAGTCTTGAAACTGATATTAACTACCGATTTGTTTAATGCAGCTACTGACACACAAAGTCAATTTTCCTCCTTATTGTATAACTGAAGACAATGAGGTTATTAATAAGGAGGTTATTAATGTATGTACTGATATTGAAAATATCGCTTTCCCAAAAATGACTTATAAACTATATTTCTATAGCAGCATTGAATAATAAAAGTGAAATAGTCGAAGCATATAAATTTTATTTTGCTCAACATGTTTATCAGATTGTTTAACGTGTAGATACGAAAAATCTACTTTCCCACATTGTGAACACTCTTCTTAGAACAAAATACGCATTCTCAAGCAATATTATCGAAGCAATATTATCAAGCCATATTATCGAAAGTTTTCACCTAATCAAGACCGGTAGACTTCATACTTCTTGAAATGAATTGCTTGACTTACCACTCAACTTCTCCAACGGTCTTCGAAAAGTACGCTACAACTTTCTATAGTAAAATGCAAATATTATTGTCAGCCTGATAAGAACTTTTAATCAGTTTCACTCTCTGAGTACAGTGCAGTCCGATTCCATATATAATCCATTGATTGCTATATGATTATTATCACTTTAATAACATTTTAGAATGAGGTTTACCACCGTTCGAATAGATGCCAACGATTGCACTGTTGACTAGTTATGTCAGGGTAGTCATAACGTAACTCTGCTCACATGAGTTCTCAAAGTCAAGCAGTCCTTGAATATACCATATTTAATACTCAAATCAATCATTAAAACATTTTCCTTTAAATTTGTTTACAATTAGTTGAGTAAATCAGGTGATCCATTGACAACGGCCTTGTAAAGGCTTATGATATACTCATAGATCTGTGAAAAATAAATTAATAGAAATCTTACTTCGTAATTATGACTGATTCGTTTATTCCACCTCACCATGATATCTGTTTCTGTGGCAATGAACCAAAATACAAATCCTTGCAAGCATTCAATTCAATACTTAACACGCTATTATATATATGATTAATTGAATGTAATATATATTAAAAATAACTATGATAATCAATAATTAACTAATAAAAATTTATATAAAGTTTATATACATAATTTTATAAATAATTATTTACAAGGTACGCAAAACACGACAACCTTTGAGAACATTTAAATTACAAAGAATTCAAGTTAATACCTAATTTCTTATCATGATAACCTTATCTTGAAATGCAGTTTTATTTCAATAAAACCCTTTGTTCGCATAATAACTCTTGCTGCATTCAA